CAACCCTAACTATTCTATGATTTTCCTGGGTGTTTCAGTTAAATTTTTCCCTGTTACTTGGAAGACATTTTGCTGTCAGTTACATTGTTTTTCTGAGAGCCACAGTCATGCTTCCTATGAATGTTTCCTGTCTTGAGTCAGGGATTATTCATGTGTGTAAGATTAACTCATAAATTATTGTCTTTGTAGTATATTTGCTACATCTGTATTACTTTTGGGGATCACTTTTCCCAGTGAGATAATAAAATCATTCCACCATTTTCTCATGTTTATCTTCTGTGATCAGTTCTGTATACAAAGGGAGATCTTTATATTGTTGATACCGTGTTTGCAGAGTATTGTCTTGTCTAGCACAGCCCTGAACCCCTGGAGAAGGTGTTGCTTAGTGTGGTGCCTCAGTCGCAGGCAAGAAAGCATGTGTGCATGTTCACACACACACTCAAGCTCAAGAATTTCTGTCAGTGTGAAGTCAATGAGTCAGCTTGTTTCCTGCACAGTGAGGAGGGTGACAGGGAACTGAGCAAACAGGGAAATGCAATACCTATGAGTGATTTATCTGTGCCCGTGGGTGTTAGCTAGTGCACAAACTGCATGGAGTTACTCAGTCCAAATCACTGAATGGCACTGTGCTGAGGAAAGTAGCAGTGACTGTTAGTGGCACTCTCCAAATACCAGAACATGTGCACTGCTAGTACAGAAAAGTCCTAAAACTTAACACATGAACTGAAGGTTTGCTCATAATAATTTCAGTACCTTTCAGTGGAACCAATGCAGAAGAGTACTTGCAAATCTGCAGTGATTTAATTACTCTTCAGCTACTTCCCAGAGTCAGCTGTTTCATTACTGTACATGTAACATTTTGACCCACAGGATATACTTTTAGAGCAGCTGAATATAGCAGTTGTTGTGGGAAGTGCTGCAAAATGTCCCAGGTTTTGGTTTCATTTTGTTTTCTATGATAGATACATAGATATATAGATATATATATAAAAAAAGCCTAACAGTCTCATGTTTTATACTATTTTTATTTCCTAACTGTTTTGAGTTAGGTTAGATTAACTTAATGTCCATTATATGTATGCATGCACATGCCCAAAAACTAAACTTGACTTCACAATAGTAGACCACATATGTCCTAAATTTCCTTATGGGGCATGTTGTGATTGCACTTCAGAATATCAAATGGAATGATGCTGTTACGCAGTTGGTAGGATCAAAACCTGGGCCTCAGCATCTGTGTTTTTATAAACTAGTTTTGAATTATATTAAAAAAAGAAAATTTATCACCCTATGGATTTAATGCTCTGGTTTAAGATAGACTTTATCATAAACATGCCCTATCCAGGTACCTTGATAAAACTATCTGTACTTGTTTGAAAGCACAGACACATGACTACTTACACTTAGTATTTCCGAGTCTGTCCAGTTTGGGCTGCTATGAAAGTAGGTGTCTGGTATTCAAACTGAACGGAGAGTTACCTGAATTCCATTGTTTCTTGAAGCATTGTATGCTGGAGAAAATTGTCGTGTCAGTATGTTCAAATGATCTTAAGTAAGTTTGTCTCTGTGAGGTTCTTTAAAAGCCATTCCAATTAATGGTAATTTTGAACAAATCAGTTTTTCTGTGGACCTTTGTTCAGAGATTTAGACCTACAAACCTCTGAGGAGAAAGGCAGTCACTGAAAGGGGAGCTGAGCCAAATAATGCAGGTGGTAAAATTGGATAAGGATGGCTTTTGGTTATTCTATTGCCTTCTGTGCATCTCCTGTACTGAAACTTGTAAAACTTTTCTACAGCTATAGCCTTACCAAATCCATATGATGCAAATAACATTTTTGGCAGTAGAATGGTTTTTGTTGTTGTTGTTTCTTAGAAGACATGCTTATAAGGCATATTTGAATTGTCGGAGATGTAGAGTGATATAATTTCTATACTAATGTCAAAGTGTGGGAATGTTTACTCATTGTACAGAGCTTCCTGTAGTTTCTTGATGCTATGTAACAATGGATCGGATTGCTTGAAAGAAAAATAATTAACTGCAAGATACGGAGTTCATTGGACCAAAATATTCTGTCTGTCCCGTAAGAAGAAATTACTTAGAAGGTTATTAGAGGCCATAGCCCAGGGAGAAGTATTTCTCAGTGTTTTCATGTTGTCTTTATCTTCTTGCATGTATAATTTCAGCCGTTGATACATGTGTACAGATCAGCTGATAAAGAAGAATGTCATTTTTGAGAGTCTGAGAGAGATGGGGTTGTTCAGCCTGCAGAAGAGTAGGCTCCAGATCTTAGGGCAGCTTCCAGTACCTAGGGGGGGCCTACAAGAAAGCTAGAGAGGGACTTTCACAGGGGCGTGCAGGAATAGGACAAGGGGGGACAGTTTTAAACTGGAAGAGGGTAGATTTAGATTAGCCATTAGGAAGAAGTTCTTCACTATGAGGGTGGTGAGGCACTGGCACAGCTTGCCCAGAGAAGCTGTGGCTGCCCCATCCCTGGAAGTGTTCAAGGCCAGGTTGGATGGGGCTTTGAGCAGCCTGCTCTAGTGGAAAGTGTCCCTTCCCAGTGGCAGGGGGGTGGAACTGGATGGTCTTTGAGGTCCCTTTCAACACAAACCATTCCATGATTCTATGAGTTTTATATAGCAAAGGCAACAAATAACCATGACAAACAGTACTAGAACTCATGCCTGTCGTGGTTTAAACCCAGTCAGGTAATTCGTTCGCTCACTTCCCCCCCTTTCTTGCCCTCCCCCTGCTCTCGGAGGGACGGAGAGGAGAATCAAAAGAATGCAACTCCCACGGGTTGAGATAAGAACAGTTTAGTAACTAAGGTATAACACAAATCACTACTGCTACCACCAATGATAATAATGATAAAGGAAATAACAAGGGAAGAGAATACAACACCTCACCACCCGCTGACCGATAACTCGCCCCCCAAGCCCGACCAAGCTCCGACCGATACCTCCTCCAACCCTGCAGTCTCCCAGCCCTTCCAGCTAACTCCCAGTTACATCCAGGGCATGACGTGCTGTGGTATGGAATACCTCTTTGGTCCGTTTGGGTCAGGTGTCCTGTCTCTGCTTCCTCCTGGCTTCCCCTCCTCCCTGGCAGAGCATGAGGCTCACAAAGTCCTTGGCCAAACCAAAACATCGTTATCAGCTCTGTTCCCGAGCTGAAAGTCAAAACACTGCACTGCACCAGCTACCAAGAAGGAGAAAAATGACTGCTACTGCTGAACCCAGGACAATGCCCTAGCCCTGAGTGTATCCTAGACACACTGTGCAGGTTACTGATCTTTACTTAACTTTGCCCAGTTCTATCATTTGTACTTGCTGCTTAGATGAAAGCCATTTTCTTGTGGAGAATTTACTATATTATGATAATTCTTCAGCCAGCCTGGATTCTTAGCATGGTGGCTCTATTCACTCAACTATTAACATGCCAGAAATCTAAGTGCATACTTATGCATATGAAAAGAGTTAAAAGTCGCACCTAAGTGCTTATGGTTTTGGCAATTTTAAAACCAGAATTACACTGCTAGAATTTATATAATTGTACTTAAATATTTCTTACTTAACGTGATTAAGACTAGATTCACTGAATCTTAAAATGTGGTCCATATATTGTTTTCCCATTATGAAAGAGGTTTCATTTCTGCCCCTACCTCTCATTCCTACTTTTCCCCTCTCAGCACTGCAGCATGCTAACCTTTCTGGGATTGTACCACTGAAACATCACTGGTCAGTGCTGGCTTTGGTCTGGCTTTCCTGCAGCCAGATTGTTTTTCCCCTGGACTCCTACACTGGATGCACATAAGCAGTTTCATGGCTACCCAGTTACTTTTGCTGGGAACTGATCTAGCCAGAAAATACCTTTTTTTAATCCCCAGACAATTTTTAGTTTGCTGTGTTGCCACAAAAATGCTTTTGCCAGCTCAGTGAAGGGATAGCATGTGGGCAGGAACCAGCAGCTGGGTGTGGAAGGAGGTGATAAATGGGAACATGTGAAAGCATGATGTCATTTGTGTAGATACAGCTATTTGTGGACCACACATAAGCTGAACCTGTGAAAAGCTTATATTACTGCAGGACTGCTTTTAAACTGGAATTATTTTTTGAGCTAGATTTGCCTCAAAGCTAAAATAATATGCAGCTGTACTCTCAAATGGTTCCACAGTCTTTACATGCTGGGCCTGTGTGATACTGGAGCATCCAGAAGGAAAAAGATAATTTAGATCTGATGTGAGCACATGTAAATATTTCTGTCAAACACAGCAGGGCAAAGTTTTTATGCTGGCCTGATGCCAGAGAAACTGTGTTACTCCAGATGCAAAGACAAGACAGTACCTGATTTGGCAGAAAGCTGGCTAGCACAGAATCATAGAATCAGCCAGGTTAGAAAAGACCTTTAAGATCATCGAGTGCAACTGTTCCCCCAGCACTACCAAGACCACTACTAAACTATGTCACTGGGAGCCTCATTTACACAGTTTGTGAACACTTCCAGGGACGGTGATGCCACTGCTGCCTTGGGCAGCCTGTTCTAAGGCCTGATCACCCTCTGGGGGAAGGAATTGTTCCTAATATCCAGTCTAAACCTTTCCTGGCACTGCTTGAGGCTGTTTGCTCTTGTCCTATCCCTTGTTCCTTGGAACAGGAGACCAGCCGTATTATAGGTACATATCTGTAGGGGAATTTTCAATTAAAAAAGCTTGCATGTCATTTACTACGTATCATTAGGTAAGTATTTGAACGTACCAGGATGAATATAAATACTTGCTGTATTAAAAGCTTTCATGTTTTATACACATATGAAATATGAAAAATCATTTACTGATCATTTACTAGTACCAGATCTTGCCAGATGAAGTAGTCATCTCAGTCATTTGAAATACAGTAATTCTAATGACTCTATACTGTAAAGGAGTAGTATATGTCCTAGGCCCTTTGTTAAAGTACAGTTCTACTTAACCAGCCATGATTTACTTTTTCTCCCACAGTCATGAATCACCAGCACCAAATAACATCCAGCACAGCCATGTCACAGCAGAGTCGTCCTCCCCAGACTCCACAGCCAGGGCTTTTGAACATGCCTAGTGCACTGACCACACAGCAACAGCAGCAGCAGAAGTTGAGGCTCCAGCGAATCCAGATGGAGAGGGAGCGAATTAGGATGCGTCAGGAGGAGTTACTGCGACAGGTAATGCCAAAGATACTCTTATTTTGTTCAAGAGCCTTTAGTTCAATGCATCCAAATTTTTACCAGATACAATTAGTAGCTCTGTAACTTTGTCAAGATTAACCACTGTTTTAGGTAAGGGTAACAAAAAAGCTAATATAAATAGAACATTTCTTTTTTTTTGTTTAAAATAACATTGAACAGAACAAAAAATGGTCATCTGTCAGGAGTTAAAGATTGGTGTCTTTCCTTTCACCTATAAAAGTAGTGTAAGGACCAAATTCTGGTCTGCATCTGTTTATAAATCTAAAGCAACTATCATAGATTAATTTGCAGTTTAACTTGGTTTGCATAGGAGACCATGCTCATGCTTCACTGAAGATAAAGTCAGAACGTCTAAAGTTGTTCCTGAGTCTCATCCCACCTCTGTAACTTACACCCATTGTTTTAGGATTAAAATAAAACTTCATTCACATCTTACATGAACACCTCTGACTTGAAGATTTGCCAGGGATGATTCTTTGTGGATGTATTGTTTATTGTTCTAAAGTTTCAGATCTATATTAGGACTTTTATTATGCAAAACAGGTATGTAACTTCCCTTACACTGCCTTACAGAATTAAAAAGTTTTAGCAATTACATTTCTTCTGTTACAGACAACTCTACTAGTGATGTTGTGTTTTGCATGGCATATTTATCAGCTTCCTTAGAGGAAAAAAAAAAAAAATAACCTATTTCTCTCAGGAACAGTGTGAACAAAGTACATTTTTATCAAGAACAGCACCATTATTGGTGGCCTTGTAAATGCTACAGTTCTAAGTACCTTTAAAAATGGTAATATTCACGGAATTACAGACTGGTTGAGGTTGGAAGGGTCCTCTGAAGGTCATCCGGTACAAGCTCAAGCAGGTTCACCCAGAGCTGGTTGCCCAGGACCATGTCTAGATGGCTTCCATGGGGTCACTTCCAAGGACAGTGACCCCACACCTTGCCGGGCAGCCTGTGCAAGTGCTTGGTCATCCTCACAGTGACAAAGTGTTTCCTAATGTTCAGAGGGAACCTCCTGTGTGTCTGTTTGACCTCTGGTCCTGTCACTGGGCACCACCACGAAGAGCCCGTCCCCTTCCTCTTTGCACCCTCTCTTTGGGTATTTATATACATGGAAGAAATTCTGCTAAGCCTTCTCTCCCCCAGGCTGAAGTCGCAACTCTCTCAGCCTTTCCTTGTAGGAAAAGCAGCATGCCCACATTTTCAGTAACCTCCCTATTGTCACCTAGGTAGTTACAGAAGCTCTTCTTGTTGTCTTTGACTCTCTTGGCCAGATTCAATTCCAGCTGGGCTTTAGATTTCCTAACCTCATGCCTGTGTGCTCATACAGTGTCCTTGTGTTCTTCCCAGGTTACCCAACCTTACTTCCATCCTCTGTGGAAATAGCAATTTTGTGGAGTTACTATTTCATGCCATCAGTCCTTTTGCCTTTGGGGTTGTACCATAATCTGTAGTTATTTTAGGGTAATGTTTGTTTGTACTGTATTTAGAAATGCAGTATGACTTTTTTTGTAACAGGTAGTAACCAGAAGTTGTTACTGGACTGATGACGCCAATTGGCTGAACTTCTCTATGATTTATTGAAGAACCATAACTTGCTGTAATGTTTTGAAATGTTAGTGACTTGTGTAAAATGTGAAAAGAAGCCTAAGGAAAATCCTCACACTAAGATACCCTCTGAGGTGGAGTAGCAGAGGGTGTGTCATAGGTTGACTAGCCACCACTAAATGAGGAGTGATGCACTTTTACTTCCAAGTCTGGAGGAGAATGACTGAGAGAAACACATTACTGATGAAACAGACCGGAGCATCTCAGTGACCTCTGGAAGACTTTGTGGGTAGCAAAGAAAAGGACACATATATCTTTAAAACCCTTAGGTCTGAAATAGAGATCTGCATGATCAGAGCAGGTTTATGAGCTCACAGAGTTTTTGTCATCTTTTAGAGGCAACAGTCATGAAAACCTCAAATTAATGGCCAGCATTTTGGTTTTCTCTCTGCAGCCTTTGAATGTTAGTTTTGCTAAATATTTTTTAAACATGCTATCTCAGTAAAATTAATGGAAGAAAAGGTCTTTCATGTTTGTAATGATTGAGAATTTGAGGTGCTTTTTTCTGGGCTTTTATTTCAGAATAAATATTTTTAATGGCATTGTATAAAATCACATTTCAAAAAGCAATAATAGACATTATTGCAGTTACTCACCAAAACAAAGGTTATTAGAATTGTATTGAAAGTGGGTATTTCTTTCATATACAGAAAATGCAGTTTGAGGCAGGTCCTTATTACTAATACAGACTTCTAACAAAAGGAATATGATTGTACTTTTCTTCCTATGTACAAACTATATGTAAGTCAAATTTCTCTCCAGTTAAACCACTGGAACCTTAGTAACTTCATCTTGTGCAGACAGAAAGACCCAAAGTAGGATGAATGTACATACTATCATAGAGTAGGCTTTTGTAAAAATAAAAATGGATGTCTGATGAGTAGAATCACAAAAACATTAGTGATTATATTTGTAAAAAAGCTTTATAACAATATATTTGCTTCACTTATATTTTTTTACTCTTTTACCTCCTGCCTCTAAATACATATGTAAGAACTTAAAATAAAAATGCTTAGCAAAAGTAATTAACAAAAACTCATTAATGCATTTGGAAACTGCAGAGCACCATCTAGCTGCATTTAGGGGGAAAAAAAAAGGCATTGAAATTATGAGCTTTTATAGTTCCTGCAGCGACACTTGGCTATCTTTGCGCATTATTATTCCCATCATCTTCGGTCCATGCTCAAGGTTAAGCAAGTGCTCAGTGCTCATCCTGTACAGGGGTGAAAGGCAGATACAATTCCACTAATGTATCTGATTTTCTTCACCTGCTTACATCAGGGCTGAATTTGACTTTCATGGTTCAGACCTTTTGTAGACACCAACATCTTGTGACTGTGTTTAGTTTCCACTACCTGTAATTTTGGGGAGTTACATTAAGATATGTTACCTGTGTGTATAGAACTATGCTCAAGGTGATGGTCTTTGACATAAGCAGTGATCTCAAGTCTTTTGAGTACCTTCTCCTTTACTATCAAGAGCTCAGAACATAACCGAGATGGGTGTGGAAAGCGAATGGGGATATCTGGTATAGCTTGGTCGGAATTGTCATCATGCTAATAGCATATTTAGCTATTTTTACTCTTCGGCCCTGTTTTTGCTTCAGGACTAAAGCAAATTGAGCTTCAAAACAGTTGTGCCATTAATACAGGGGCCGGTTTCCTTGCTTTGCTGACTGTGTTTTACTTTGAAGGTAATACACACACCACACTGCAGCTGTGCTGTACTTCATCAAGTCTCCAACTTACTACGCCTAGGTACACCCTGCATCTATGGTGGTTGAGCTCCACACTACGTAAAACAGGACAGGAGCACTTTGCACTACTAAAGTTTTCAGCACTGGTGTAGCTCTTGGAGAAACAACATGCTTCCCCAAAGCAAAATCCATCCTTTCTGACAGAACTGTGTGAAGTTCCCGACAGTAACCTGAGCACTTCTGAACCTCGACAGCTGAGAAGAATGCCAAAAATCCCTCTGGAGTCATCAACATTCAAGTACAGTTTCTCCTGCCCTGACCCTCACTGCTGCTTTTGCTTTTCTAGTATAACCTGTCTAAGGGAAAAATGCTGAGTAAGTGTGCCTAGTGTTCCTAGCAACTGTGAGTTGGTGCAGAGAGTTTGAGCGAGAGGCAAGGAATTCTTTTGGTGGGTCACAAACTTCCTTTCAGCCTGGCAGCAGCTGCTGGCTCCCCGCAGCCATTTCTGGCTGCAGCTGCTTGCGCAGAGCAGCACACCCAACCGGGAGAAATACACAGTTCTGGAAGACCTCCTCTTAGGGAATCTGTTCCCTTCTTTGTCCTCCATTTAATTTAGTTGGTAAAGCCTCTAGAACTGCAGGCTGAGTATATGCAAGAAGGGCAGCGCTTCAGAAAACCAGTATGACAGCTTCTCTGTAAATGTTTCCTTACTCGGTTTTGTCATTCTGGAAAGAAGTTGGTTTGGTTTTATTTTTTTTTAATTTTATTTTATTTTTCCTGGTTGGTTTTGGCAGTTTTCCAAAGGAAAAGGGAGAACCTGTTTGATGTTCAAGCGCTTCTTGAAAATTGAGGTAGTTAGAGGTCATGTCAGTAAGAACCTCTGAAAGGGCCTTGTGGGGAAAATGTCCCAACACTTTGCACAAGTGCCATCTTGCACCTTGTTTGGAAGGGTACAAAAAGGCAACACTTCTCAGAGCTTCCTTTTCTGATCCCCCAATCCTATTCCATAAATTTCTGCACAGAAAAATACAGGGGCTCAAAAGAGACTGTAGAAGGGGTCCTGTATGGAGCTGTAGAGGACCCTGTATCACTGTTTTCTCTGCACAGAGTAGAGCATGACTGACCTGCTAAAGCATGAACAGAAAAATGTCCTGCTGTACTCTTTCCACTGGACAGACTGATTCATAGTCTGATAGATTGATGGCAAAGGCAATATCTAGTTGTCTCATTTTCCACCTTAAGGATGAGAACTGTGAGAAAAAGAATTCCAGTGGCTATCAATGTAAACTCACTGTAAAAATGCCCTCACTTGCCTCCCGCAGCTAAAAGTGACTGTTTGAAAACTAAGCATGGAGCTCAGTTCAGTTGTGCCAAGGAGGGTTCCAGGAAATGTGACAGTGAATGTCTGTATTTGTCTGGCATACAGGTAAAGGGGGTTTACATCAGAACTGTGTGCAGAGGCAGTGAGTAATTCAGCTTGTTGCAGTGCTTTGAAGCTTTTAAAAAGTTTTTCAAAATAACCACTGATGAAGCTTTCCACATGCCTTTGTGATGTCAGGGTACTGTGGGGTTTTTTAATTTATTTTGTTTTGTTACTTATTTTGAGAATCCCCTTTGGGGTTTTAAAATGGTGCGTGCAGTACTGCCAAGCAGATCCTTATGGGCGTTTGGTCCTTTCTGAACCTATGTGCTAAGAATTGTCTCTGCTGGCCAACAGGGCACTCCTGCATTTGGGAGCTAAGAGCTAATTAGACTAGCTAAGCCTGTTCTGGTAGCTTGCAACTGCAGTATTGCCATTGACAGGGCTGCAAGAACTCTCTGGTTTTTTTTGCCAGACTTCTTCACTTAGGGTAGGAGATGCCTGAATATTCTTCTTAAGCATCTTGTAGTCATGCCATGCTTAGAATAGAGAACCAGGCAGAACAGGCTATCACACATCTTTTGTGATGGTGTAATTGATCCGTTACTATTGACACTGCTGTAGTAATGTCAAAGAAGCAAAGCAGCAAGCAAGTCTGACATCTGTAGCAGTACTAATATTGTGGTGTGACTTTTGAACATATCACCTGCATCAGGCAGCAGCAGCAGAAGGTTGGTTCAATGTATAGTAGAGCCAGTACACTGCTTCCCCAGCCTGCCTCTGACTCCAGTATGCAGGACTCTGTTGTTCTGTATTATAAAGTACACGTGGAGTTAATATTACAAGCAACATGCAGTATGTTGAAATAAAGACACAGGAGGTGCCAAGTCATTCCCCAAGTGAGAGCAGAAAACATAACTTTATAAGAAATTCAGTGTTTCTTGCAAGAAAGAGAAGACATGAACTTAGACTTTGTAAATGCCAGCGTGAGTCTTATTTTAGGGTGCTGAAGGTTCTTCAGCTCACAGACTGTCTTGCTTTGCAGGGCCTAACTCATGCAGTAGATTAAGCATTCCTGGAATGGATTTCTGGCCCTGCTGCAGTTAGCAGTTGGGAGGGCTAATTACTGTGTCTAGGGATGTGATCATAAACCTGGGTATGAATCTCTCCTTGTTGGACCAAAGAGGAGTTGGCACCATGTTTTCCAAAGAGATCACTAGCTGAACTCCCCAATTGCATAGGTCAGCTGCAGGACAGAGAACAGCTGGCCAGCATTAAAGTTTGCAGATGCATGTGAAATTCACAGCACTTCATGCAGGAGTAAGTCCAGTTAGTGCCCCGGAAAGAATGGGCATTTTGCAGTGCATTCATATTTCTGAGAGGCAGTTCATTGAGAACACTTCAAGTTTAACAGAAATCCTTTTCAAATGGCTGACTGTTCATCTTACTGGCCATAGGACAGTCAGCCTGATTCATTGCAGTAATGCAGTCTCTGTGCCTTTGTTTTTCCTTTGTTAATAGTCCATTCTGAGCAACTTTTTGGAAATTAAGTAATTACTGGGGAGTAAGTTACAGAAGTTACCAGTGGTTTAGGACTTTCCCCAATACAATATGATACAGAAAAATCTTCGTGTCTGTCTGGAGAAAGGCAGTGCCTGTGTCTGTTCTGTAAAAAGCAGGTATGATTGCAGCAATTGTAGGCTAACCTGAGGTTAGGAAGCTTGTAACAGTGACATCAAATTAGGACTTAGAGTATTCTGAAAGAGGCAAATACTTGGATCTTGAACAGATTTTTCTCAGTTATTTTCAGTAATAGCATTTGATTTTCAGAAATGACAGCGACCAGAATGATAACCAACATGTATTTCATATGTTGGCAAACTAGGGGAAAGGCTTTCTTTTTGCCTTCTCCCCCTCTCTTCCCACCCCGTACTGATCTTACCTTTTTTTAGTATGGAACAATGTCCAGTGAGATTTGAAAATGCACTGCCCTAGTATCAAAACCATGAACTTCACTGCTAGATTGGATTTAAAAAAAAAACACCAAACCCTAGCTGAGTATACCCTGCCTCATTTTATGTCTTTTCTTCTTCCTTTCTGTATATCTTTATGGCTGTCTTTTTTTCTTTCTTGCTGTTTTTCTAGTATTAGCCTTGCTTGTGTTGATGCAGTTGTTATATTTAAACAAATACTTGCAATATCTTCATGTAGACAGTTAAAAATGCAGTCTGACCATTTTCTGAGGTTACATTTTCGCAACCTCCAGCTGATTTAATTATAAATAGAACCATATTTATAAATAAATAGTGGAGTTGTCACTTAACAAATGTAATGAAATAAATAAGCTATTAAGAATCTTCAGACTGTTTGTTCTTAACACTTACTAAATAATGACACCATCTAATGTAAATTATTATTTATCTGTGCATATATTGGTATTTTGATTATAAAGGAAACATTGCATTAATTGGCACCAATATATGTTAATTCCCAATGAATAATTGTTACATTATTCATGAAGAGACCAGACTGGTCCTCCTCAACGAAGAAATCAAATGAAAACATAGTAAACTATCATATTCTAGCCTCAAAAACATATTCATCTTTTTTGTAGTTGGGAGGATAATGACTGATTCACTGGAGAAAAGTTTTCTACTAGGATTTAAATGAAATATTTCCATTGTTTATTTCGTTAAAAAATACTGATAAGGTTGAATAGATAAAATACAGATATAGCTTTATATTTTTTAGGTCTTAGGATACTTGTGTGTATCCATGGCTCCCCGTGGAGCCAAACAACCTTTGCATAGACTTCTGTACCACTAGATGTCATGGTTGTTTCATAGAGACAATGCTAGAATTATCTTTCAGGAAATTCTGAAGCAAGTTTCTTTCGGCTCTAGTGGCTTGTTTGTCATGCTAATGACAGTACACATGAGACAGGTCATTGGACAGATATTATTATTAGGCAGAGGATACACTCTAAAGATTATTGGGTCAAAGCCTTCTTCCAGCATGTTACATATTTTATGGTTACAAATGGTAATCTTCTGCTTTGGTACATAGCAAATCATGTAATCTAGTAGCAACTCACATAGTTTCAGTGCCTGATTTTCGTCTCTTTTGCACCAGTTTAAACTAAACTGAGAGCAATTTCAGTTAAGGTTAGAAACAAATATGTGGGAGATTAAATTTGAGTCTGCAGGTCTTAAACTGCCGTATTATTGCCACTCCGGCTCTCAGAGAACTTGTCCTTGCTAAACAGTAAACTGAAACTGTAATTTGAGTGTTTGAGTGTTAACATAGCTATAGTATGCATGTCAACATGGAAAACTGTCAGCTGGTGTTAGCTGGCCCATGAAGTGTGTCCAGGCTGTCAGTAATCAGTTATAATGTGCAGACCTATCAGTGTTTTATGATGAGGTGACAGACAAGGCGTCTGAAATTATAACATAGGTAATTTGGTTTTGTAGGGTTTTCTCTGGGTCCAGCAAGGCTTGGTCCAGCCATCTTGCAGGTCATTGTGTTTGTTCAAGGTTTGACTTCCCCTGGCTGTCTGCCACTACCAATGTGACAGCTCTGCCAGTAAAGCATTTATATGAGTATTTTGTGATCTGCATCACACAAAGAGAGTGAGGCTAGTTTAAACAGGCAGACAAACTCTCTGGTTTAGTGTGAAATGTGTTACAAAGTCCTCAGAACGTGTGCCTGCTGGCTGAACTATTGGACTGTCTTCCAGCCATGGAAGTAACTGAAAAGTAGATTCTGTGGTGTTTTAGGGCAGCACAGGTGGGTATTAAAGATGCTGTCTACATTATGACTTCCACATCACTGTAAATAAATAGACATCAATTAAGTTGTTTAGAATTCCTTTCATAAATAAGATATGTGTATATATTACATGTTCTCTTGTTACAAGACTTCTTGCAGGACTTCTGAGCCGCTGGAATAACTCTTCCCCTGTATTTGTTTGCCTTTTCAGGAAGCTGCTCTGTGCAGACAACTTCCGATGGACTCAGAAAACATGGTCCCAGTTCAGACAGCTGTGAATACACCTGCCATGACACAAGACATGAGGCCTATTACAAATAATGGATCTGATCCCTTCTTGAACAGGAAAGTTCATGTCCTCTTTATTAGGCAATTAGTTCTGTTGTCTTCTCTACACTTTGAAAGCTGTCTTTCTAAAGTAGCTTCCTACTACTATCATCTTTTGTACTTGCTGTGAACATGGGGTACAGCTGAGTGGCTGACCTGAAGTTTATACTTCTAGAAAGGAATCTTAGAAAAATAAAAAAAATGGTAACAGTTTTAATTGTACTGTAGGTGTATGTAGACAACCCCAGGTAGAATAAGTACATAACCTAAGTATAAATAAACTCTTTTTTTTTCCTAGGCTGTCAGAACTGTTTTTGTCTAGAGAGTTAGATATACATGTGTGTATTTCAAAATTTATGAGTAGCCTCACCAGTTGCTTTATGTTTGGGCTGATTTAACAGGACTACATTAGTGGCCAACAGTTGAGAATGAGGCTTAATGACTCAATATTTAATATCTTACCTACTGTGCTGTCTTTTTTCAAACACCATGATGAGGGACTGGACGGCCGGGCCGGGTACGACTGTGCTGGGCGAGGCGTGGGGCTCCGCTGCAGCCACCGATAGGGCGGTAGGAGCGGCTGGGCTGTGCTGGGGGTGGCGGTAGTCGGTCAGTCCCTACCAGAACATCTTTACTGAGGCTTTTTCATGTTTTAATTTATAGTGGGCCATACCATTCCAGGGAACAGAGTACTGACAGTGGCTTGGGATTAGGATGTTACAGTATACCAACGACACCGGAAGATTTCCTTAGCAACGTGGATGAGATGGATACAGGTAGAACACTCCGATTTAGCTTAAAGTATAATAATACGAATAACTCTGTTATAACGTTTCATAATTGCATAACTGAACGATAATCTCTTGCTTTCCTATGCAAGCAAACAGACTGAGACTGGGGGGAAAAAATGCCTAAAAGGTACTTAGTGTCTAGAAGCTTCTCAGCTTTAACTTAGGTTCAGATTGTATGCTTTTACCTTACACTGATACTAAACAAAATAAAAAAAGTTGGAAAATGTGAGTCTTAATTACTGTTTTCGTATCACAGTCCAAGGTAGGAGGATTAAAAATCATAGAATAGTTAGGGTTGGAAAGGATCTTAAGATCATCTAATTCCAACCCCCCTACCATGGGCAGGGACACCTCACACTAAACCATGCCAGCCAAGGCTCTGTCCTACCTGGTCTTGAACACTGCCAGGGATGGAGCATTCACAACCTCCCTGAGCAACCCATTCCAGTGCCTCACCACCCTAACAGGAAAGAATTTCCTCCTTACATCTAATCTAAACTTCCCCTGTTTAAGTTTTAACCCATTACCCCTTGTCCTATCACTACAGTCCCTAATGAAGAGTCCCTGCCCAGCATCCCTATAGACCCCCTTCAGATACTGGGAGGCTGCTATGAGGTTTCAGCCTATCTTCATACAGGAGGTGCTCCAGTCTCCTGATCATCCTCATGGCCTCTTCTGGACTGGCTCCAACAGTTCCATGTCCTTTTTATGTTGAGGACACCAGAACTGCACACAATACTCCAGATGAGGTCTCACAAGAGCAGAGTAGAGGGGCAGGATCACCTCCTTCGACCTGCTGGTCACGCTCCTTTTGATGCAGCCCAGGATACGGTTGGCTTTCTGGGCTGCAAGCGCACACTGCCGGCCCATGTTCATTTTCTCATCAACCAACACCCCCAAGTCCTTCTCCACAGGGCTGCTCTGAATCTCTTCCCAGCCTGTAGCTGTGCCTGGGATTGCTCCGACCCAGGTGTAGGACCTTGCACTTGGCATGGTTAAACTTCATGAGGTTGGCATCAGCCCACCTCACAAGCGTGTCAAGGTCCCTCTGGATGGCATTCCTTCCCTCCACAACTGAACCACACAGCTTGGTGTCATCGGCAAACTTGCTGAGGGCGCACTCAATCCCACTGTCCATTTCAGTGACAAAGATGTTGACTGGTCCCAACACCGGTCCTGGAAAATCTGGGTTACATTCTTGGTACTCTGGAAAACTAGTCTCACTAGTAAATCTCTTAAAATGGCAAAGCTGGATTTGGCTTCAAACAATGTATTTAACTAGTCCAGGTTTTCATAGTTAGTTATTTTTACATCATTGTCCTCATGGTATTTAAAATACTGAAAGAAATTTCTAAGAAATTGACAAGCTTTTTTCCCGATAGTGAAATTCTTAGCACTTCCTTATCTAAGCTTCCTTTTGCATTCATCAGAAGTTCTAGATGTTGCTAAAAGTGAAAGCCTTCTCTATTAAAGATGTTCATACTTGTTATTACTAATTTATGAAAAAAGTAGTATAATATTGCAGATCTAAATTGCTGTAAGATGCTTCCTTCTTTAGTTATGCCCTCAGGACAGCATTCACTCTTCGGCAGGGAGCAGGATAGAGGCTTTACATAAGACTCAATCACGTTGCTCCCTGTATGACTAGTAAATTTGAACTATTGTGCTTCCCAAGGGGAAAGTCAGCGGCTGATAGCAAAGAAAAGAAATTAATTCTCAGAAGAATATGCATTCTGCAAGCAGGTGTAGTCTTGAGGTAACATTTGTAGAGGATGGCAATGCTCACAAGTGCTTTCCCATCCCACAGGAGGATAGGACAGGGGGAGTCTAATGTTTATATGGATTGTGCTGGTTTAAATTACCCACAAGACAAGTTTTTGGCATTTAAAAATTTCTTCTTTACTTTTCCTAGGAGAAACTATACCACAGACAACAATGAACATAAATCCACAACAAACACGTTTCCCTGATTTCCTCGACTGTCTTCCAGGAACAAATGTTGATCTTGGGACTCTAGAGTCAGAAGACTTGATCCCTATTCTCAATGATGTGGAGTCAGTACTCAACAAAAATGAGCCCTTCCTTACCTGGCTGTAATCATTCAATGCTGATTTGGCCTACAATGCAATTCAACATTTCTTTTTCTTCTTGAGATAGAGGTAGAATATGTGAAAATGCTCAAGAGAGACAACTTACTGCCTTAATGTCTTTTGTTACATCATCTTTATGGTCGGTTTAATCTCTGCCTGGATTTCATTGACACTAATTTAAATATAAAATACACACACATATATATATTAAAAAATACATATATGCATATATATTTATTCTTCTTTAAAAACAAGCACACTACTTTACATATCTGTATACTTCTTTACCTTTTCAGACCAGGCAGAAATGTTTCAGTTTAAGGACCGAAACTGGATGGTGTTTGTGCATATCCCTGACTGATCTCCTAGGTGTTGATTAGCATCGAAAACCCTTCATGAATCACTTGGTTCAAAAAACATGCACAGCACCAGACCATGAGAGCGGTTTTATTACTGTGTTTATGACAATAGTATCAGAAGTGGGGTTTTATCAATTTACTTAAGCTTTAATTTTTATTATTTTTTTTTTATTCTTAGTTACTAACTGTGCCATATGGAATACAGATTAAATCTGATCCATATCAGCCATAATAATTCTCATTATATATTTGCAAAGGCACAAACAGTACTATTGCAGTTTCTTTTTTTCAGTATATTACTGTATAGGTTTTGGAAAACAAATACTTCCAATCTGAAAGTACCAGAATTGTTTAGCAACGTTTTTATACTACAATATTGTTGCAGAATAAACCAGGCTGGTACTGACTGCTGCCTTTTACGAACAAAGCAATGTATTATAAACAAGCATTTTTAAAAAAGATCTTAGATTTTGATGTTTATTATATTAAGCACTACATTTTTTAACTTAACACATAAACAATTTTTATGTATATAAAATCTGTGGCAAACAAATGAAAAAACAGTCTTTTAAAAGCAGGTCTGAAAATGTGGCACAACCTGTTAATGTCATATGTAGCAGAAAGAAGCCTTATACTGTTTTCAGTAATGTTTTAACTGACAATGTCAAAATACATGTAGTTGTTTACATGAAAAAAGATGGTAACTTTATCAGGGCAGTGCTAAAGCAGTATTGGAACTTGTCTGGTAAAGTTACTTAGTTGTTAGGTCTTTTACTTACTGTAGTTGGTATACAGGACACAAGGCGTGTTCTGGGTATTTCTACCTGTTGTATATCCTACAAATACTTCTTTATCAGAGGTTTGGGACTGAGAAGGCATCAAGGACATTAAGCTTGCAGTTCCCCTGAAATGCAAATGAAGTCCTAAAATTCTTAAATATTTTGAAATTATGTTATTTATAATATGTGAATTTAAGCTTTTTATATTGAAAAATATGTCTTTATATGAAAGGCATTAAAACTTTTCTCTAAGCTTAAGCCGGGCTATGTAGAGAGAGAAAGAGGTGTAGCACTCAGTGTAAATGTGTGTTTGGCAGGTCTGATAACACTTAACAAGGTCTTACTGATGCACCAGAATATTGATCACTAAAAACTTTTTTCCATCTGGTTGGGTGAAAGTAGGTGATAAGGTCAGAGGTGAAGAGATGGGAATACGGAGGAGGTTTGGAAGACAAATGATCATGTAAGAGATGCAGATTCTTCACAGGAAGGGTTGTTGCAGATAGGGATACACAGAAAATGCATCATCAGCATTCAGTAAAAAATGTAATGGAAGAACTTGATACAATGAACTGCCTTGTCAATGGTGAACTGCTGGGTGTACAAGATACCAGAGGGCAGAAAATAAACAGCAAACACACCCAAATTTTGAAAAAAAAAAAAAGAGGTGGAAGGCAAAGACCTACAGTCATAAAGTTTTATTACATAGGGGAAAATAGCTCTTTTAATGGGTTGTTTTTTTGTTTGTTTGGGTTTTTTTTAATAGAAAATGAGATACGACATCAGAGTTGTGTCTGCACAGGATTTAATTACTGAATGGGCATTGTGTTTATTTTTTGGAGAGGTTATTTGTTATTTTTGCTTTTTTTTTTAATTATTTTTGTGAGTGCTAACTATTGATATAGCAGAAATTTCTTTTCAACAAACAGGGGACCGGGCAGGGCTAACCAATGTTACTGTAACTATGATTAATCTCTCTAAGGGTTTCTTCAGGTTGTCAGCCTAAACAAAAACCAGATGGTCCTAAGGCTTTGTTCTTTAGTGACATGACTGACTTGGAGATTTTTTGGCATCTGATTGTGATGCCGACTTGTAAGGCAACTCTTAACCCCGGCGTGATTGGCCTAGCAAGCTGAAGGCTGTTGGTGCTAGAACACAGTAGCTGCAGATCTGAGCTCTAGCGTGACTCAGTTGATACTACTCACCCTTAGATTATATTTAGAAAATGCATTTTTTTCATTTGCTAGTAAGTCTGTACTATTATAAATTTAAGCTTTGACATAGTAGAAGATACTCCAAGCAGATCAGGTTCTTTGCTGGTGTGCATTAGCTAACCTGTGTTGACTTCTGTTTGGCTACACTGATTTCATCAACTGCAGGTCATGATTCTTACAGTGAAACCCAATGCTGTTTTCTTGTAAGGTCACTTAAGGTGTTTATCAGAATTGTGAAGCTACAAACTTGATTCCTCTTTTCATTGGTGTTTCACGTGGCTAAGTGTCTTAGTTCAAAGACCTTAAAGAGGTAAAACAATCAGGAATTCTTTCCATATTGCTTCCATAATAAACCAGCTGTGCGAAACAATACTTACAGTGTAAAACAACTGCCAGAATCTTAGGTCAGATCTTTACTCAGTCATGAACTGAATCACGTTTAAGTTAAAAGCCATTCTTTACTTTACACTGTAAACTTTTCATTTTTGTAATGGAGAGGATGTGTCAGATGAGCAGCAACAATAAAATTATTTTTTATTAAGTTCTCTTTTTCTAAAAGTTTCTAGCTTTAAACAGGCTGTGGCAGAACTTTTAAGTACTCAAAGCATATGCAATTCTTCTGAAACTAGATTTATAGATGCCAATGTGTTGCTTATTTCAGGTTTTGAACATTTACTTTAATAAATGCACACTGTCTGCTTATAGTATAAATACAGCAAATATGCCAGCTGGATAGATTTACTGTCAACCATCACCGAGGGTGGCATATGTAAGTCTTGGTGATACAGGAGTAATGAAATGTTGTTAATTACAGTTTGTATTCTGGTAATACTGTCAGAATGTAACTTGGGGAGGGATTGGGTTTGACTTCTTGACAACAAATGCTGTTTGAGGGAAGGATTTAAATATCTATTTTAAATACAGAAAAATATGGGTGTTCAAATAAACTTGTTTCCTAATATGCTACATGCATATACATGCTAGTACTTTAACTTTTTTATTTACTTTTTTCATTTTGTTACATGACATGTGTGAGCATTTGTTTTTAATTTTAAGTACCTTGCAACAGATTGTATGTATCAAAAGCTGTCAGATCAAACTGTTGTATCCAGGGTTTGATTCTGTTTTTTTTACTATTTCCTTGATCTTGTACATGAAAACCAAATATAAATGAACTTAAAGATTTTGGATGCATATTGGTTTATTAAATTGTTTCTTTTTTATTTTGGAGATTTTAGTATGTGCTTCCTAGGGAACTGTGTAACACTGCTTGGAATACTATTCTGTGCAAAAGGCATAAATTTTTAATTAAATTATGAGCTCTTAGCAAATCAGATGGGTTATTTTACCTGTATGTTTTAATTTACTGGCAGTTGTTATGGCCATTAGTGGTAATTGCAGATTTACTTATAATGCCTACAACATCTTCCTTCCCAGTGCCACCATTACGTGTTTCTTTTAGTGGCACCTTGCAACTGATAATTCACTGACACAAATGTTTTGTTACGATTTGGTTTAATACCTTTACCTCTAAGCAGAAGAGTTAACACCAAATACATTTGCTGTCAAGTTCTGTTTGGGGGACTTTAGTTCACTGCTTTCAGCCTGATCCCTTATTCAAGAAGCATCCTAAATTCTGCATTAAGAAAATACTGTCTTCTTTTACAAGAACAAACCATGAAACCTGAACAACAAAGCTTGTCTTTCCTGCTATGGTACGTGATCCAGTGCAACTGTTACTATTAATTAAGTTTAATACTCTTCTTGAATTGTTCCCTTACATAATTTATTCTAATTAATTGTTAGAATGCTTCTAACAGTATCTTGCTTTTACACAAAGAAGTTGTGGAACCGCCACTAAACAGAAATGGAAAGTGTATTAGTTGTTTTGAGAAATGTGTTTGCTAATTCATGGTTTATTTACTCGGGAATATTAATCAAGTATTTTTTTGGCAGAATCACTGAATGTGTGTTTGTTTATGAAGGCCATTTTGTTTGTTCCTAATGAAGCTCTCCTTCTGAGCTGCTCAGTGGTGCCCCGCAAAGATTGCTGCTCCTGTGTGGTGTTGCCTCAGAGCTGTAATAAAACCTTTCGTCAGGGAGGGATTTTCCGAGATTGTGATGTGCAGAAAACCCCAGGCATTTCAGAGGAAGCATGTCAGTGCTCTGGCTTTCCGAGATAACCATTTAATGCAGCAGTCCTGTTGACGGGCCTTCTGTTCTGGTTTCTGTGCCCGAGTTCAGGAAGCCATTTCGGGCTGCAAGGACAACTGCACAGCTGCAAAGGATCCTAGTGCTAGCCTTCTCTCCAGGGTGAGGGTGTGCACCTCGCCCTTGGGAATCTCACCTCTCGCACCCGCTTTTGTCGGGAAAGTATCCTGACATGGCTATTTTCGGTGCAGTACTAAAGCCTGTTCTAAAGCCTTTTTGCTACCTGGTCCTGAAAGCTTGCTCTTCCCTGTACCATCAGCAGTGCCTGCATCCAGGTACGTTTTTATTCTTCAAAATGCGATGGCTAGAATATTTTGATAAAATTAACACCCTACCTTGGGCTAGCCTAAAAGCAAGCCCTCTTGTAACCTGGCGTTTACAGAATTCGGTTAGGACGAGGGGAACGAAGACGGGCAGGGCAGCGAAGGGAAAGCGCGACGGCGGGACTAAGGTGAGAGGGAAGACGCCCCCGCCCGAGACCACTTGCCTCTGCCCAGTCGGGCCGCGGCAGGGCGGGTCCCCCCGCCGGCCACCTCAGGTGGTCGCTCCGGGGCTGCTGTCCCGCCCCGCCCTGGCTGCGGCTCCCGCCTTGTCCTCAGGAACGCGGCGGGGCTGTGAGGACGGGAGGAGCGAGGTCGGTGGCAGGTAGGAGGAGACCATTCGGGAGACCGCGCTGCCCCCCAGGGCTGGACCGAAGGCGGGAGATGCATCCGAGGGCTCCCGCTGTTTTGCTGGCTGGGGCTGCTGCGCGGGTCAGGAATGGACCGGGACTCAGTCCTTGCTTCCATAGGGTCGGCCGTATAGCGCGTCTCGACCCCGATAATTGCCTGGGCAGGGGATGGGTGACCTACGGGAGGAGCCGGGGGGGAAAGAGCAGCGCGGACCGAGGCCGGGCGCTGCCGCTGGTCCTGCACCCTCAGCAGCCGGGAGATTCCCCGGCAGGTGAGACGTGCACACGCAAAGGCAGTGGGGACCCTCCACTGGCGCCCTTTTTCTGCACGTAGCAATGATCAAGTATTGCCATAAACTTAACTAGCGCAGTTAGTTGGTAGGCTTTATTTCTCAGTGCCAACGAGTAGTATTTTTCGGTTTGGGTTGTTTTGATCCACAGGTGGGAGCAATTTGTATTTCAGTGAAGGGTCCTGCATCAAGTGAGCAGTGGCAGGTGGAGGATAACGATGGTGCTTCTCAGGTGAAGATGCCTATAAAATGTCCCGTTGTATTGGCAGAGTTTTTGTAATTTAAGTTAAACGGTGGATTCTATCCCCATGAAAGAGTAATTTGGCAAGGAAAAACTTCAGAGGTGTTTTATCTGGAGTTTTATTGATGTCCATCACTGATATCAGTGTTCACCCTCGGGGCAAAGACCCCACTCGTATCAATGTGGGAGAGCAAGTCAGTCTCCCCATCCTTGGGCAGTAGTGGTTGTTGCCGAGTTTGCTGTTGTTTGCCTTGTGGCTGGTTACACCATGAGTAATGTAGAAGCCTTGAAGTGTGAGCTAAAGTTGAACTGGGAGCAGGTGATGAACATTCGAGACTAGAATGATGTTAGAAAACATTCTTTGCTCTTGGCTAAGCAAATATCTTTTTACTTTGTGTATGTTAACTTCGTAAGTTTGGAAATGAACCTTTAAAACAAAGTTGCCAGTTAGATAATGCATCATTCCCAACAGGTGACGCTGTACTGCGGTTAATGTATCATCTTGTTGCAGTCTACTGGGGACAATCAATAAAGAGAGCTCCAACTGTATACAGTTTAACTGTGCAGGGGCACCGGTTTTGTTAGGCAGAAGTTGAAATGCATGGGCTCAAAATCATGTGCACACACTCCACGTGTTGTAATCTGAGTTGTTAAATAACTTGTGTGTTAAATAATTAATGTAAATTCTCAGCTGAACTGATGCCCCAGAATTGCTCTCAGCACACAGTCAACTGGCACTGAGCAGCCAGTTTTTGTGGGTGAATAACGAGGGCCCAGATAACACGTGCATCTCTGAGATTTTACAGACAATACTAATATTTTTCTTTTAAGCTACTAGGATTTCTACATCTGTGTAAGTGTTGATATTTGTACACACTAAAACCAAGTGTGGTGTTCAAGTTGGTAAGAACTACTGAGGTCAGGTTTAACTCTTTCAGTTCTCCCTGTTCGTAGTTTCTCTCTTGCCAACATCTTTCTGTTTATGCCTAACACATGCTCTTTATCTGTAACTTCTCTACTAGGAGTATTGCTGGCCCATTACTTCTTTCCCTGTCACAACAATCTGTGATCAGTCCCACCCCTTGATTTTACTGCATGCCTTGCTCAGGAAAAAGAGAAAGCTATCTCCAGTTGCTGCAGAATTGACAGTCGGGTGTGATTCCCAGGAATTTAAATGCTAGGTGGGAGCCTCAGATGTTAATCACAACTGAATTAGGAACAGTGCTGTTGGCTCTCAAAAATGCTAGATCAGCTAAGCTGCTGATATCCAGTTCATTTACGCTTGTTCAGTGCATCCCAAGGCCAAGGTGCAAATGCAGTCCGGGTTGAGATGAAATCTGTGTGCCTTGTTTCAGTATCTACTAGATACTAGCTCATGTTAGAAGACCACAGTGTACTTGGGCATCTTTTAAGCATTGACTCATAAACCACCTGTTGGTTTTGGTTTTAGGTATCGTAGCTTCCTGTCATTTGTTATCCCAAGTCTCCTACAAAGATTTATGTATTCTGTTTATTAATATATCAAAATTGTATGCTATGCAGCCACCCATCCCTTTGTTCAGTGGTGCTGAGAAACATTCCATGTTCCCAAATGCTTCATATAAATAAAATGAAACAAATGTGAGATGAGGTGCAGGACAGCTGCTAACCACAGATGAAAGAATAGATGCAAGATAGTTACATCAGTGGGTGGTGGTATAAAGGGTGCTCTCGGATTCCCCAGCAATGAAGTAGAACAGGTGGGAGAAACAGCTGTTTCTGAAGATGTTGTTTTATAATTACTTTTATCATCTTGCACAATGCATCACTGAGGCTGATTTGCTTTTGTTAATTACCTAAATCTAGCTATTTCACATTTTTGCATGTTGCGCACCAGCTTTTAGTGCTTCTGAATATTAAGTTCTTGAGATAGCTCTAATATAGCTGCAGAGTACATGAATACATCTTCTGAAATCACAGGCCACACAATCATCTGAACTTGGAGATTTTTAAGAACAGGTTACATAGATGTCTTACAAAATATTTAAGTGTTGTTTGTGCTGCCTTTGTGTGCAAAGGTAGGCTCCAAAGATGCCTCCTAGACCTGTTAATCTGTGACTCTTAAATCACTGCATCACCTTTGTTAGATGAGAGCTCACAGTGAATTACTGCCATGAACAGGGGGATAAAAGCCCTTCGTAAGTAGGAACAGATTAGTTTACTTATGGTGACTATTTCTATGTCATTAAATTACACAGGCTGTGTAGTTTCCGTATGAGAGATTCAAGATGAGGATTACAAGTCTAGAATGTATTTCAGCATGTAAACAGGTATGTGTGTCTCTTGTTAATGGGGAGCATTTTAATCATAATGGGTTTGGAAAAGAGAAGTCCTCACTTTTCCACATAACATAAACATACTTAAAAAAATTTAGACTCGTGGTATTTCCATCTGATAAACCTCAAGAGAAAATAGACACAACTGCATTATAGCTGAGCTTGTACCAGCAGCATTTGGTGAACCCCAGTGGGAAAGCAGACTCAGGAAAGAAAATATTTTGCCTGAGAATATCCTCTTTTAGACAGAAACTGTTTTACAAAAATAAATATGAATGTTAGAGTTGAATTTCACTTATTTTATTCTATTCTATGATAAAGGCTTTCAGGAAGTCTGGAAAGGGAGTCAGAGCTTCTTAAGGGGAAGTGCCCTTCATTCTCATCTTGTTAGCCAGAGATGATGCATCTGAAGGCTGCTTTATGCAACAGTTGCAAAAAGGAGCCTCCCAAGATAAAGAAGGTTGTGTGCAATATTCATATTCTTTAGACAGTTCAAGATCCCTGGAATAATAAAAGCATGGAGATAATTTAGTGGCTACCACTCCTGTCACTTTCAAATGTTCTTATGATTTCCCAGTAGCTATGGAATAAACAACATAAATATGGACTGAAATAGTAATTTCAGCACCTGGGGACATTGTAGGGGTTCAGCTACACTTAAGAAAACATCATCATGGCACTGAATGAAGGCTAGTTTAGTTTTTCAGACTGTCAGCTAGTCAGGTGTGCATATAACTGTTATCAGTAGAAAAAACAGTAACAGAAAACAGTCAGTTGCTCACCCCACAACATCCGCAACATTTGCAGTCCCCACAGATTGTTCCAAACAGGCCATTCACCACTTGGATGCCACAGAGCACTGCCTGGATCCCACTCATGATGAGCAGCAAGGAGAAGAGAGTCAGGTTCCAAGGGACAATGTTTTCAGGTGACTGACAAATGTTCCACAGTGTATGGTTAGAAAGGTAATCCCTGTGAAGAAGATGACGTGAGCTCACAGAGAGGGAGTCTGTCACAAGCCGTCGCTGTTGTGATACAGCTGAGTCTCTGTTAGCTTTAATTAGTGCAAGAAATAATTTCCATTATTGCACTGGTGCCACATATCTAGAACATAATTTTGGTTTAGGTTCTAGGTCAATTGAAGCAATTGACTGCAGAAGACTGCATTAAAGATTCTGATGCAGTGAGGAGTTTACTGTACCCGTCATTGATCTGTTCTGCTCCCGCCTGCTCTCCTTGCTAATACATTGTACCCTGCTTTCAGTTGGACCTTTACTGGTTTCAGCCCTCAGCAACTGGATTGCTAGGGGTTGCTTATGTTCTTTACACCTGCTCTCTGAAAGTGATACATGACACCAAATACGTTTGAGCTGCAGAGTGTGAGGAACAGACAACTTCCAAATTCCATAACCAAGATAAAATAATACATAGATACTAATTATTTGCATGCCATCAAATTTCAATATAAAATGTCACTGCTGTTCATCTAGGTAGAATTTATCCTCATATACTGCTTATCATTCCAGGAGTAACCTAGAAAGCTGTGCATTTCCCTTTATGGGCTCGTTTGAAACTCATTAAAGTACTCACTATTCTTTATATCTGCTCTTGAACCTTACTTAGGATTGCTGTGAGTTGCTGGCTCTTCCAAGAGCTTCTGTCTTGTAGACAAATAGTATAATTACAGATTTGAAAGTTAAATCATACCACAAAATTAAAACTTGTAACTTTTTTTTTCTGATTGTGTTGTCTTACCCATCTTTGAAAGGATAGGTCCACTCTGTTCCAGTGTTGCATTTAGGGCCTCTGTTTAGGGCTACTGCTGACAAAATAAAGCAGTATCCAGCTCCCACAACTCCAACTGCAGCAAATATTACAGAAGAAAACATCTGATGAAGAGAAAAATCATGTTATTTTTTGTTTTCATTCAAACAATGAAATGTACCCTATTAATGTGAATGTGTATTCCCTGAATTCAGCTCTTAATGGTCCTACACTCTGAACAGCTGAAATATATTAACTCACAATTACATACCAGATGTGTAACACATACCTACACTGTATTTAAAAGCTTTAAAACAATTGGCACCGTTTATCTGAAGGCAAAAGGGGTGGATGCTGCCACAGTAGATGGCACTCCTGCCCTTCAGATAGTGTTTGTCCAACAGTCCTCATCTTGTTCAAGGTCATGAGTTTCACTGAAGGGGAAGTCTTTCTGAAGACATACAAGCAAGACTGAAGTCTTGGACCACTCAAGACATTAAAGAAAATAATCTACAGTATGGTTTACAAGTTGGCTTTGGTGTCTTGGTCACATTTGTACCAAATAATTACAGTTTGTCTTCCTGAGTCTCCCTTTCATGTTTCATTTTGGTGTACTTTATCTCCTCTCAGGTACTTGTCAGCATTAGTTCTACTAGTGCGATTGGAATGGGTTGGAAAGGACATCTTTATCTTTCTGGCTTTCCATTATGGCATTTTTATATACTGATCTGAAAATAATCTGATACACTGATATCAGATGTGTAATATGATATGCACTGATATGTAAATAAACATACCAATATGTAATAATGCAAAAACTAATGCCCTGCTTGAATTCTGAAGCACTTGTAGCCGTAATAGTTTGTAGGTAGAGGTAGTGCCTTTTATTGGATCAAAGAGATATAGGTAGAGGAAAAAAAGATTACTTTCATTCAGACCTCATCACGAGACTCTTGCCTCGACTGTTGACATGCATTTTTATGTTGATGCAGCTGATGGGGCTAACAAATAATAGCAGCGTTTCTGCTAACATACAAGACCAAATTCAGTTCTCAGTCATGCTGTGGTAAGGCCACTGGGACTCCTTCGGTACAGTGTACTTAGTACTAGTGACTGCATTAATAACACCCCGTTTCTCAGCTGCATTCTCACATGAGTTCTCAGTAGGGTTCTGCGCCGCAGGACGTGGGTTGCTGTATGGGCAGCGCTGTGTGCGTGGCTCCGCCTACCTGCGGCAGCGGGCACAGCTTTGCAGGCGCTTACCCCTGGTCACCCGCGGTATAGCTGTGGGCCTGGTTCAGCTGCATCGCAGGGCTGTGAGTGGCCCCCCAGCAGCAAAACATTAGTAATTTTTATAGTCCCTGAGTTATATGTGGTCTTCAAAGCTAAACTAAGATATGTTCACTGCTAGCAAAACATTGATAACACAGTGTGGTGAGGGAAGGCTCCTCGTTAACCTCATAGTTGTGATTTGCTTTTTCCTTTTATTTTTTTTCCGGTTTGAAAGGCTGCTTCTTTGTGAAAATGTGTAATGATCTACTCAAGCCAAACAATTTATTTCAAAAGGATAGACTTTCCTAATAGAAATATATTTATTTTTAATCTAATCTCATTTTTAAACCAAAATGCTTTAAATGTTTACTAGTATCTGAAGATACCCATTTAAAACTTTTCACTTCTCATGTGAAAGGAAGCTATGAATTTGAAGTGGAGCCTGGTATACCTGGCTTTAAGTAGAAGGCCAGATTAGGTGACCTCTCTGTGGTCTCTTCCAACCTGAAATTTCCTACGAACCTAATGAGGTACCTGCAGCCCAATGTGTGGGTCTGCAGTGAGTTGGGAATGTAGTGTGCAACTGTCAGAATAATTTCAAAAATGACAGCAAAAAAAGGCTAAAGAGAGAACTGTCATGCTCTGCAAAACTAAGTGCAGATCTTTCAGAAATTAGTTTTAATTGTGATAGCAACTGTAAGTATCTTGTGATAGCAAAATACACCAAGTTGTCATACCTGTGGCACAGAATCAAAGGCATAATGCAGTTCTTACAGCCTCTATTTCTACCTCCCAGCACTCAGACAAATGGCTGATTTGTGTCCTACACTCAGGTCAGCATCTGTACAGTCTCTCAATGAGTGAGCAGAAGATACATATATTGGTAATAATTTAGCTTTTACTTCTTTGCAGTGTTTCTTCTCACTTACCGCAAACCTCTTTCCACAGCCCTCATTACCACAGCATCCACAGCAATCATTATTCTTAAGGCCCAAAAATACCAAGGCAGGAAAGATCATCTAACAATGACAAAAATACAGTTTGAATTAGGATGACTTCAAGTTACATTTGCTTTGTAATATAAGAGTTCTCTGTTTTTTTTTCTTATCACTAAATTAAGCTACTTGATGCAAAACTGTTGGATGACTTGTAACTTACTTGCTTATCAGAAAAAAATTTGCAGTTGTGGAACCTGCATTTGAAGTACTGAAGAAATTCAGCAATGCAAAGTGATGGTGTGGGTAGGAATATCTGAATTTATATACTCACCAATACACCAGACCCCAAGATCCCTCCGAAGTACCAGACCTCATTTGTAATGTGCAGATTGTCGTTAGCCACTTTTCCTCCAGGGAAAAACAACAAAATGTTAGCAAGGGTACATAGCACAGCCAGGGGGATAAGAGTGGTTCCCAGGCACTTAGCACAACTTCCCGTGCACATTGCTTTTTTAAGTAAATGGTAAATGCAGTTGAAGGCAGAGGAAGGAATCTCTCGGATGTTCTTAGAACTGCTCTGTAAAAAAAGAGCTCCTCGGTGTACTTTATAGAATCCAGTTTTTGCCGTGTCTTTAGAGGAGCTGAGCCTGTAGAATGCCCCCTTCAAAGATGTTGCTGCAGTTGACCAGAAATGCAGTGTGCTGGTTATTTATACATTCTTGCAGCCATGATGTCAATTTTCTGAACGTCTGCAAATGAAATTACGTTCAATGCAGCCTCTCATTTTACTATGACAACCAATAACCTCTGTTAATATTTTACTAATATGGATGAGGTGTTTCATTATCTGAGCTCAGGTCATGGGCAGATATGCTTCTTAGTTCTGGATCATAGTTTTTACAACACACAGTGCTTCTTCACAGTACTTCTTTGTAAAGACTGACATGAAAACACGTAACCAATCAGCTGATGTTAAGAACCAGCTGTGTGCAATGGGAAAGTTCTAGTGAATTTTCTTTGGGAAAGTCGAGCTACTAATTTGTTATTCTGAAGCACTCAGTTTATGGATTTGTAATAGGTAATGAATTTTCATGGAGGCAGTGCTTTGCAGCTGGTATCTCCGGAAAGCTAATCATCAAAAGACGTTTCGGTGCACTTGCTCTTTATATTGTGTCGTTTTGTGTTCTCTAAGGATAATGCGTTCCCTCAAAGCCCAGCACTTCATTTGCACTCGGGCAAAATTTTCACTTAAAATTATGCTGCATGTGGCAGGCAGGCTCAGGAGCTCAAGCAGAGCCTCACTGGTTTGGCATCCAACATTTTATTCAAGCAAGCACCTCTTTTAAACCAGACTCTGCTGATCTTTAACAGGAACTGAATACCTTCTCTATCATATTTATACTTGGTATATTGTCCTGTTGAACTTGTGTTAGGATAATATTTCCCAGCAATCATCATTCCTAGCAAATAGTGATAGATGCAGTTCCACTGCTATCCCTTTATGGACATAAGAATTCCATGTATTTTGAGATGGATAACAGTTTCCACTTAAAGGATGAAGCTCAGGAAATTCTCATTCAAATTTGAAATAAGTTTTTAAAGGTGTTTGAGTGTTTGTTTTAATCCATATAGTGGATCTCTGTTGAATCTTCAAAGACAGGCAGCCCAGAAATATCTAAAATGTTACTTTTTACAAGTACAAACTCTTACGAAGCTCATGATAATGAATTGTCCAAAGCTGTATTGAACTGCCCAGAGCCATGGCTAAGGGTTAGGTAGCGGTGCTGAATAAGCTGGTTTTCACAGCCACCATCCTTACAGAAATGATGCTGAAAGAAATCCAAGTCACTGTTCATCTAGATTAATTCCCTAATCTGGTTCATCACAAGCCACACTAGCAATTGTGCAAATACAGGGAAGCAGGGAGAGCGGGAAGCAGGGAGAGCAGAAACAGGGATGCCTTGAGCCACCACTGATGCTCAAGAGCCAGAGCGTGGGCGTCTCAGCTTTAGGCTTCTTTGCAGAAACAGGATATATAGCAGTTTTACTAGACCAAGCCTAATGTTTCTAGGCGAGTATCTTTTTAAGGTAACAGTAATAATACTAGAAATCCTACTTAATTATGTATGCAATTCTTGTAGTCATGAGGTGCAATTGGAAGGGTTGTCAGCTTGTGAGACGGCTCTCCAATACCTTTTTTCCTGAAGGTGCCAATAGGATTGAACACAGGTACTCTCTCTGACAAATAGTGTATTTTGGGGTTCTAATGTAAAATATGCATCAAATGTAAAGAAAATTAATTACTATTAACTTAGATGTGGCGCTGGGTATAGTCCTGTTATTTTCAGTAGCTAAATTCTGTCTAACTTCAGGCAGAAAGGATAATGGTCTTGGTTTTTTGATAAAAAGATGAAACTATGAAGCCTATTTTCACGTCAGACGTAAGACATGATTTTTTGAGCTTCATGTTTGCTTCAGGGAGCCTGCTCTCAACCTAAGGAAATTATCACAGTACTGTGTAATCTTTGCAGGTAAAAAAATTAGCTCGCTTATTTACTATGTACTCACTTGGCCTTAAGTGGAGCAATTTCTCTAAAGAAATCTTACTTTTTCCAAAGTGTTCTTCTCTAGATACTAGGGATTAACTGGGCAAATGTTAAAGGCTGTCAAGTTCTTTGATGCGTTAGCTGGTAATCACATCTTTCTGATGTGTCTATTATCACTTTGATTGAAATAAGTATTTACATAGATCAAGTGAAGTAAGAAATACTAATAGTTTTTATTATTGAGAATTTATAGAACTCCCAAATACCAGTCACTAAAACAGTTTTTAATGGCTTGGGGAGTGAAAATGGTGCTTCAATTACAGAAAGACTACTTAGGAAAAATAACACTGATTCAGATGCCTGTGCAATATATGCCAACTTCTCTATTAAGGATTCTCTCTGGAGTATGTGTCTCAGAACAAGGCTGAAAGAAAATACTGTGTTGTCAGAAACAAAAAGTAAATCTGGGCTGAGGTGACTGAGGTTAAATTATATAAAAGCAATAGAACAATTTTATTTTATTTTTCTTTTTTGTGATGATACTGAATTTTTAAAATGAGCCCCAGATGATCATAAAAAGGAGAGGGGATGATAACTATATTTAGCTTCTCTTCCTGTTTCATACTCCATAGAAGACTCTGCTTCCATATGCTGGAAAGCCTGCTGAAAAGATACAGGTAGTCAGTAAATACCCAGTCTTCTTTGGCCTTACTTTCTTAAGAAAATCTTGGTGATGCTCGTAAGCCATTCTTAGAAAGTACCATACTCTGCATGACTTGTGAGCCTCAAGGTTAGTGAGACTGCAACAGCATCACACAGGGTCACTGTTACTGATTCTGTTCTCTGATAACTCTAAAAACCATTATAATGAAGTGAAAGTATGTGCATTGCTCAGAAGATGCAGAAACTGGGGGGTGAGGTAGGAAAAAAAGACGTATCTAAATTAGACATGAGCATTTGGAGGTTACCCCTTTTTACTTGGTTTGGGATTTTAATTCTTAAATTGCAAAGCACCAAAGCAGAAATCTAAGACATTGAAAAAGCCTGGGAGGTGGAATAATATTTGTAAAAATAAGTGAAGCACCAGGACTTACACTGCAGTAAGTCCTAGAATCACTAGAACTGCAGAATTCTGAAATCAGCTCTTTGTCCTTTTAAAATGGGGTGGGAGGAAGCCGCGAAACAGACGCAGATGGACAGAACAGTAATGGGATCAGATCCATCTCTTTTCCACCCAAGCTATCTATAACTACACCACTGATTTAAGTAGAAATAGGTCAGATTCGCATAGGGATGTATTTCACATCAGAATACATCAAATCTATGTTTCAGTCCTATTCAGTTTAGATGGCACATTTATAAAAACAACAAATCAAACTCTCCAGAACTGCTCTTAGGAAATTTTTCTTTCATAGAGGTAGGAATTTATTTACTCTTGTAGTCAGCATGTCCTCTTCTGTGATCTGCCTGCTTCATACAGACTTAGTACAGTTGCATTGCACTTTTATGAATCACATACAACGAGAGGTGAACATTTTATTGGTTGTTCAGCTACACGTGTATGACATGCCTATGTCATTCATTCACCTACAGCACATGGAGTTTTCCAAATGAACTTTCTGAAAGATTCTGTGCCTAAGAGTGGTGCTAGCAGGTGTGTAAAATTTGCAGCTAAGCTCAGTTCAGGGGCAGTACCTCTTATTAGGCATTCTGCCTTTAACAAGAACCTGAATCAAAGGTATTGTGGCAACCTTCTGTTGGATGCATACATATTAGAAAATAAAGGCAGTTGGGTTTGGTTGCAGGTTTTTTTTTATTATTAACTAGTTGATAAGTTAATTCCATTGCAATTATATATTCACGGTCCAAATTCTTCTTTCACGTCATGAGATGCTTGCGTAATTGAAACAGTAGATAAACCAGTGGATCTAAAGATGAGACATCGTAGACTGATAAAGATGCATGTCCGCAAATCTGGAAGAGTTTTCGGATTGCAGAATAATGAGAAACACCAGTCTATTGACTTTAGGTTGTGTAAACATAGATGGAATAAATTAGCCTGATTAACATATTTGGGGTTTAAAGGTTTATTTTATATATATTCTGTGATTTCTGGGAACTCTGCTATATGGTGCAAGGCTGTTTGCAGGAAAGAATGAATTAGAAATGCTCTTAATTTTTAATAGCCCTCTTCACTGAAACGTTAAGTCACATGATGAAGAATAACCAAAACCTGAATGTATCTTCCGTGGATTGTATTTTGAAATTGTGGCATGGCATATGCCACATTTTAGGATAACACACTGCCAAAATGATCATATGTATTGTTTTGAGTATTAAGAAGACCAGAGGATGGTTCTTTGGTGAGGATCACTTCTAGGAACAAACATGCCTGTACTGCTGATATCTGTAGTGCTAAGCAAACTCATGATTCCTTAGAAAATCACACTAGTTTACCTTGTAAAAAGAGCTGTGTTCAGGTATTTAGTAAGACAAATTTTGACTGGCTTCTCAAGTTTGCAACATGGATGAAGCCCACAGGTTCTTGATGCAGATCTAGCAGGACAGTCTGGATGATGGCAGTGATGGCTCCCAGTGGAGATGAAGATCCCTGTCAAGCACAGTGCATTCAGTGCTATGAGCACAGGTGGCTTTAGGAGGAGCCAGTAACCGATGATTAATTGAACAGTTTCTGGGAGCTGCACTTCATTGAGTTTTCTTGTTGTGTCATAGTGATTCCTCTTTCAGCCATCTTGCAAGGCTGTGAACAATATAAGCTATTTGGCTTGTGTTCAGAAAGTGTTGCCCTTTACGTCCCACTCTGCTGAGCCACAGCAATTGCCTCGGGAAGTTCTGGGAGATGCCTTCCACAAACCCCGTGCTTCTTTGGCCTGTGTCATGTATAACCTGGGAGCTGAATGTACCTGACCTCCTCGTCGTGGAACAGATGCCTTTGGAGCCGTTGCCACTAACTGTTAGCTGGGCCCCTAAAGGAGAGAGGACCATCTGGTCCTATGAGTGTAAAAGCAACGTGCTTTTTTACACATGACCACTGAGAGCATTTTGAAAGGTTCATAAATTTGATGTTTCAGTCCAAGAAGGGCAGCTATTATTCAACAGAAAAGCAGACAGAGAAACAGATTGAGAAGCCTTGACTGATAGCACAGTCTACACATGGTGTTCAGGCCAATGTAAGCACTTTTCATGGCTTTCTACAGCCTGCTATTGCTTCTGTGGCAAGCATTCAGAACTTGAAAACTCTCCATACTTTACCTGCTATGTTAAATAGACTTTCATGACATTCACAGTGGATAGAGAGCATGTGTAATCTGGCTCCCAGTTATAGCATAGCGACAGGAACAGGCACAGGGAAAATATTTGCTGTAGCTGGTATATAAATCTTGCTTTTTCTCCCCCTTCTCTGTCTGATTGTCAGAACGTGGCTATTTTGCATTTGTGAATCTTGGCTTGCAATAAGGGGAAAAGGTTTAAATGGTATTGCATGCAGCAACCTGCCATCCGGGTTTACTGCAAGTGACTCAAAAGCAGATGCTTCTACCAGGCTCCTGCCAGGCTTTCAACCTGAGCTTCACAACAATCCTGCTCTTGCACTCACCAGCTTTGTCAGTATCACAGAAAACTAGCCAGACTGCTCTGTTCAACTATATTATTATTTATGCATGGCCTTATTAAACTACTGCCAACCTTCAGGTGAGAGTTTAAGTTATACTTGTCAGCAGGGATGGCTTAAGAGGAAGTGGCATTCAGCCTGAGCTGGAAAACAAAACTGAGGTTGGCTCAAGTCTTTTTCCAGGGAAAAACTGAGTGACTCGAACCCCTTTGAGATGAACTGAACTGGGTGTGCTTCCCTTCCATTCTAGTCCACATTTTCCAACCCTGGCCATCTCTCTGGGAGGGGAGGAGGACCAGTGAGACCATTGTCAAGCATTAGCCACAACTGCTTGTCCTGGAATAAATACTCTGTTGTGGAGACTGTGAAGGCTGGTAACTGGGGTGGAGACAGTCTTTGAATGTTGTGTCATGCTGTCCTGTGCAACAGCGTTTTCCTAGCAATTGTGGAGTCGCAATGGAAGGCACTCCTTTCTGGAATGCTGTTAGAGGGTATTTCCTCACCTCACCTCCTGAATCACACAGAGTCTTTGCAGAGAAAGGTGAAACGACATTTTCCCATGGAAAATTGACAGTAATGGAAGGCCACTCAAACAGTTTTGGTAGTTCCGGTAAGATATATCAGTGGTGATACCTTACCAGATTTTTGCCTGGTTTCTAAAGACACAGGCAGTGATCTGAAAGCTAAGTGGAGACTGAGAGGACACAGATAATTTGAAATACAAAGGATAAAGATAAATATAAATACAGCTACATGCTCTGTGGCTGTATATAAACCTGCTGAGTGCATGGGAGCTGGTAGCTGTTAAGTGGTAAAGTTCAATAATTGGAAGCAGTGACCTTGAAACAGAACCAGATGTAGCATTGGTGGTAACCTGAGAGGTAGAGTAAATTATCCTCGGTGCAGCATACACTATTTAATCATCCTTTTCTCAGTACCTGGGCTAGTCCCCTGAGATACCACCAGTACTATTGTTACAAGAAGGTTTGTTTTTTTTTGTTGCCATGGATTTCTTGCTAATCTTGGTAATCAGATTTTGATTTTGTTTGGATAGGTGAATGTTACTTAACATGTATTTTGATGTATCCATTAATTTTTAATTGCAGATAGGTGTGTTTTGGTCAGTTCTTGTGTCAATGACTGTACTAATTAGACAGTTATGACCCAAGGCCGTGAGTTCTTGCAGTTACAATTTGCGTAGCTGCTTCCATATTCTAAATGTAGTTTGGATATCTTGAGCTTCATAAGCTTCTGTGAGAAGTATTGATTCTGACTCCGATTAAGCCAGGGAGGATTTTGCTACAAATTTGTAGGTGGGATTGGATTTACAGTAGCATAGATGAAACCAGGTCTGTTTGAGACCCTGCTGCAAGTAAGTTTGTGTGTGTGTTTATATATATTTCATATATATGGTGATATACTGATCTCAAGCAGGAAATACAGAAGGAATTTCCTGCATAAAATCACTCTTGAACACACTTTATGTGATATTGTGTTTGATTTTGTGTTGTGCCATTGTATTGAGGACTAGAGAGAAACTGGTAAGCTGTGGACCAAGTTCCTTTTATTTCAAAAGAGAACAAAGAAGAATGAGTTGAAAAATGTCTCCCTTCATGTTACCCCAGTCTTCACTGTGGTGAAGGATCACAGTAGTACAAGCTGTCCTCTGGAGAACACAGGAAAGCCCCCCAGTTCTGATACCAGTGTAGTGAGCCCAGGTAGACAGAGAGGACAGACCCCATTCCTCTTTGGTAGCGACTCACATGGGCAACATCTTCTCTGTGGAATGCATGGATATGGAATGCATGTCAGTGGGATGCTAGGAGAGGAGGGCTGCATAAATGGGTCCGTGTATATGCAAAGTAAAAGCCATCATCAGCCTTTTGACACAGGAGAAATTAATTCCTTTTTTGTATTCACAGATGTCTGTCAAACCAGGAGGGTAGCTGTGCGGTGAGGCATGTGAAAGCAAAGGGAAAAATGTCTAAGAGAAAACTCAGTATCGTGGGCTTCCCTGTGACAGTGTTTTCCTGTCCCAGTCCCAGCTGCCAGACTTCCTCCTGGTCTCTGAGCGTGGGCTGGAAACATGCACGGTTCCCCTAGTGTCTGGTTTGACCTTCGTTCTCTTCCTGACGTTTCTGTTCAGATAAGAGCTTGTGACAGATGTAGTTTGGCCTAGGTGGTATTTTAAGTTGCACATTGACTGTGAATACAGAAAAGCAAATTACCCTGATGAACAGTATTTAAGAGAAGTGGGCTGGAAGGCATGTTAGAACTAAAGCCTTTGCCTGGGGCTACTGCCCTCAGGGTCACCTGACTTGTCAGTGCTTGCTGGAGATTCTTTCTCTTTACTGGGATGCAAACATCAAGTGGTGGGTGCATGATCTTAAGGGAAGGTAGGTTCCAGAGATAAGGCCTGGGCGTTCTTATCCTTTGCTAGATACCAGTGCAATTGAGAGGAAAAACCTTCTGTGAGTTCATTAACTCATTCATGTAGGAATAAACTGTGGCCCGAGTGGCCCCAAACACGAAGCAGGAATAATGCTTAAGATTTCTGTGGAGTTGCTTTGCTTTTACCCTGGAAAAGAATGCCCGTCTCTCTTTCTCATGTTTCTTTCTACACATGGAGGAGATGAGCGCAAGGGAGCATTAGCTCTTAATTTCTGTTGCTTGTTTGTGTTGCTGGTAACAACATTCCCTGTATGCTAACTCTTCAACACCATGCGGGCTCCTGTGGTAATGAGGAGATGTGAGCTGCACATCGGTTGAACTGAGTATCTCTCTCCAGCTGCATCCCTGCTGCTTGGCTTCATATCCTCAATTTGTGTTGTCCAGCTGCATTGTTCACATGCTCCACAGAAATGACACAGTTGTGGCCCACTGGCTTTTTGGTTCTCCCACCCATCTTTCTGTAAGGGATGTGTCTGACTTAAAATCATCTTTGCTCTAAAATCCCTTATGTGGAAATGGTTCATGTGTCGCAGAGGAAAATAATGGACCGTGGTTTGCAGGAAATAATATTAATCTTATACTATTGATACTCGGAATATCTGGATGGTATAGGTAACTTCAGTTTTACTTCCAGATCACCTGCGCAAAATGACAGATCATTACAGATCACCAATTTGTGATTGTGTAGGGAGGCAGACAGACAAGAGACAGGAAGGCTGTCTTCTCTGTGGAACTGGGTAATTCCTATCTCACATTTTAGATCAAATTTGGAAGACTCTTACAATTTTGAATTTGATCAAATTTAAGAACTGCAATGGATCACATCTTCCAGGATGTACGTCTCATGTACTTAGATGTGATTCTGTACAGCTTTTGATTGACAAGGAATGCTATTATGTACTGCATTCATTTTAATCCATCTGGTGTGAGACTGGGATGCTTAATGCCTCATAGTTATCTCACTCATAACTGCAAACATGCTTCCAGCAGGCTAGTCCATCTCCTATGCTGATTTTACTGGGAACGTTTGTTAAGAATGGGGTCAGAGTCCATGTTTACACTTCCTCTTCAGTTATTTGTTTATCTGTCCTCTGCTTGAATTCTGTTCAAAAGAGAGATTTTCGTGACTGAAGAGTATTTTTTTTTTTTTCCCATGCTGAGCTCTGATGATAGCAAGAATCAAGAAGTTCTAAAGGAAGCAGCAAGTTGGGGTTTTACCTTTCTGATGCCTAGAATTCTCAATTATGACTTTTGGGTTGGGTTGGGTTGGTTGATGTTTTGTGTTGGTTTTGGGTTTTTTTTGCCATTTTTTTTTTTCCCCAAAATGAATCAAACTTGTAGGTTTTAGTTATATGTTAAGGATCTAGTTACATAACCTGTATGTATCTGTGGTTCCCACTGACTTCTGTGGGAAGCCTTGCTGGAAGAGTAAATGCAGAATTGAGTTATCTTACCAAAATCTTTCTTAATCCACAATTAAGACAGTGCATTATTTTGTCCAGTGTGTCTTGAATTGCTGGTGGCTTGACCTTACAGTCTCTGTGTTTCTTGTGGCCAGCATGAGGCTCCATAGATTCTTGGAGAGTTTGTCCTTGTGGGCAACATGCGATTACATGTTAGCAGCCTTACCTGCAGTGGATTTATTACCTATCCACTATGTTATAGTGGAGAGCAAAATCTGCTCAGTTTGCCTTTCCACTGTTGGAATTGTTCATTGATTAACAAATAAATTAAGAAATGAGACAGCTCATGCAATAGTAAGTCTAGTTTCTCACCAGTTCTGTGAAAGTTGTATTCTTTTTACGAACCAGTTGAAAATGTGTAAAATATTGGCTGTTTTGCGAATTGTATGCTGTTTGTTGACATCCCTATGCTATCCAAAGAGAAGCCCATGGAGGCAAGGACACGACATGCTATTTCTGTTAGAAGACTATTACTACTGTTTGTTTGGATTTTTTTTTTTTTAGCTTGAATTTCTTTGCTAGAGTTTTGGGGGGAGGACAGACAGCCCCTAACACCTTCTTCCAACCTCTTTGCCCCTTCAGTTCTTACTTTGCTTTGCCGCTTTGAGAAGCTTACCCTGTGCCTGTTTTCAGAGCATTCACGAGAGGTGGTGCATTTTTCATACTCCTCTCTCACCCTCCACCAAATTACCTTGTAATCATGAAATTTGCATTAGGTACAACAGCAAATTGGTTGCTCTGTAAATAAACATCCAGATGGTCTGAAACGGTTTGTATTACATAGTGTTTGTGGCTGGTAATTATTGATTTGTTGTTACCAAGTTTGCCAGGCCAGGAATGGAATTATACCGCATCCACTTCAAATGATCCTTGACACTGAAAATCTTGCCTATGGGTATGGTCTGTCCCTCCTTATAGCATAGTTCTTGTCATTGTCATTATGTGATGGCTGTTTAGGCAGGGCTTTGTTGCTGAATTATTACTAAACAAAAGGATATTCTTGCTATTCCTTCATTTAGTTATACCTGTTTTTCTTGCAGACAAAGTTTTCCCAGCCTAAAAAACAAGCTAGTTACTCTCGCATTGAAAGCCCATGTGTTTTCAGGTATAGTGTACTAGTATCCTGCCAAGAGCAGAGTTGGAATTTTTAAACTATTTCACAGATGTATCCTTTATTATACTCTACGCTTTAAAGTTTATTTCCTGAGATTTGACATGGACCATTTCTTTTTCTCGACATAGTTATTTAAAACATTCAAGATATATTTTTATGGAAGAATTTGACAGTCTAGATTTCAGAAGTTAAAACAAATTTTAAACATATTCTAAATGAGTTCTTTTTGTTTCAAAACAAGCAAGACAAATCTTCATTGTTTTTTCAGGAATAAGTTACATTCAGTTTTATAGATGGACACAAATCGTGAATTCCTTTTTACCACTTCAGTTTGAGCTCTGTCATGAAGTATAAAAAGTGGTGCAAAACTGTGCTGATGCAGTTCTCACTAAAGCATGGAATATACAAGAAGTGGAGAGCAGCTGTATTTTTCTCACTGTGTCATTGAAATGATAGCAACTACATTTAATGAGAGAAGTGGTTTTATCATAAATAGGTTAATTAATGGAAGTTTTGCAGCAGCCTCTGTTAAATTGGTTTTATTTCCATGGCAACTCTTTCTGCTTCCTGGATAACTTCATTTCAGTAAATGTAAGACTGAAATGGGTGGAAGATAGGCCTTTCTGTGTAGTAATAAATGGGCAACTACAATAAATTTCCATATCATGAGCAGATAAATGTAGACATTTAACCTTGTTGTGTAGAGAATGTAATGTTACAGGTTGCTGAGAACCAAATGTCAGCAGAAATAAATAGGTACTTGAGAGTGAGAGCCTATTGATAGTGCTAGTTCATCCATGCTAAAAGCGCATACAGGATCTCAGCTGTAGGAAACATAATGCATTGCTTTTTTTGGTTGGGTTTTTTTTTTTCTCTTTGCTGTGAAATTTTACTGTGTTTACCAGTTTGACTAGACCTAGATAATTGTTAATCTAGTCTATAAAAAAGCCTCTTACTCCTGCTTCTGCTTCAAATTTGAAGTTGGCTACCATGCAATTAGAAGGCTCAGAGAGAAGTTTATCAGGACACTGTTTATTTCAGAGATAGATCATGTATGGGTTTAGGGTTTTGTTTTTCTGAAGGCATGAAAATAATCCAGTTTGAATGCAAAAGCCAGGATTGTTTCATAAAACTGTAAGAACTGCAAGCTCATGGGTGGTTACAAAACTTTGTTTTTTCTTAAACAGCAAAATTAAATTCTGGTATTTTTCACATCTTCCCTCTCAAAACTATAATCTGACATCTTACAATGATTTATGTGCTTAGACTTGGTTTGTTAAACTTATTTTTTGTAAATGGTTAAAACTGTGGTCAGAGTTGACTCACCTTGAGTAGATTAGTTATCGCTTATGTTAATATTTAATGGTATGGTACCAGGCTGTACCCTGTTACTTTCAGAACACTCCCATATTGTTTTGAGAGATAATGCATCCCCTGCCTTAATACCAGGTATCTGACTGTGTGGCCTCAGAGGCCTGGTGCTTCTTTGTGTAAAAGCTTTGATGGATCCTGGCACTGCAAACATTAAGGTTCTGAGAGTGATTAGAAATGTTAGAAATAAACTAGATCGGGGGAAAAATATTTAAATTAGAAATCATTCTAGTTTGTTAACTGAATCTCATTGTGAAAAATATGCTGACCTTCTTGAAGCTGGCCTGAGGTCAAGGGACTGTATCAGCCCTTAGATTTAGTATTCAACTTTTTTTCGTCTGTCCTTTCAGCTGTCTTCTTCCTATATCTCCTTCTGCCGTGAGATCAGCGGTGCCTCTGAGATAGGCTGCTCTCTGCTGTGCTTCCCACCCCTGCTCACTGCTCTGCATCACCTGTCATTTCCTGGGTCATCACCAATGTCCATGCTTGCTCTACACACCATAATCTTCCTGTGAGCAAGGGATACTGATAAGAGAAATAGTTAAGAAGGCACCTCTGTGCTGCAGAAGCAGGGATCTGAAAAAAAACACCACAGTAATTTATGGACTCTTACCCTCTTTGGCAGTCAGCTGAGCTTCTTCGATTTCTCTCCCTTCTCCCTTTGTTGTGTTTTTAATATTTCACCAAGAGGACAGAAAATGCTTTTCCTGTCAAAAGCAGCTGTGACTGCTTCCTTCTGTTGTCATTCGGTGCTAGTCTCCAGCACTGACATTTCCATGGCCTGGGCAGCAGAGCTCAGGTCCCTCACTGTGGCTGGCAATGCACTTGGCAGACAGCTTGTGTCCACCTGGGCTTCCATCACCATGGAGAGGAGGAGGCATGGCAGTGGCTTGTTGGCAGCAATGCTAATTTGCCTGTGCAGAGGATCAAGGGACTGACCTGGCTGAAAACCAGTTGTATGTTTGCTGTTTTTTAATTTCCACCACTGGGCTAGTTTTCATCCACGTTAGTCCAAGCAAGGCCCCCGCAGTATTAGGGAAGAAGCAGGAATATATAGCTGCAAGTAGAGAACAGGACTGAATCTCCAGTGGCAATTTGCTGTTAAATCAGTGTAAGTCAACTATTAAATTGTACCTTTAGACTATGAAGCAAAATGTCGTGGTATTTGGTCTCTTCATGCAGTACAATCATATTGTGACTTAGTAACAGTAAAGTTTTATGGATGGCTGTTTTTGTTAAGATAACTTTTTCCAATCATATTCACTTAGTCTCTGTGAGTTTAAGATAAAACAGGGCAATGCTGGATGCAGTTTGTTCCACGCAGGAGGTGTGAATCTGGCCTGATTAACAAGATGCTTTGTTAGGAGGTTGTTGCTGACCTTGGTGGAATTTAGCTCCTTTAAAATGAGAGTGAGTAAGAGCTAGGTGGAGTTTGAGCTAGGGAGAGCTAGTAAGAGTTAGGGAGTTTGCTTTGGCCTGTGTGTGGCTGGGGACTGTAGTGGTATGTTGAGGTGCTTTTGCTTATAAGAGAAATCCCTGGGCACATTTATTGTGAATTATTCTCACATTTATTTACAAGTTGTAAATATTGTAAATTTATTTACAAATTGTAAATATTGTAAATTATTCCCACATTTATTCCCAAATTATTTACACATTTATTGTAAATTATATGGAAAGTGGGAGAAAAACCCAGTGTTTGTGCCAATGTTGGAAATATGTAAGTTGTGGTGTTCTCAAGATGCTCTTCCTGTCCCTCTGCTGTTCTGAATGTCCCTGTATGCTGTGCAGTGCGCCTGGAGTAAAAATCCATGAGCAGGCCCCTTTGCCTGCCCCCTTGCTCAGCAGGTAGGCAATCACAGAGCAAGTAAGGCCAAGGCAGGCTTCTTCCTTTGTTCTTGCCAAAAGAATGGCAGTGCGTGGCTGGCTACCCTAGAAGCATGTTTCCCCAAAATGCTGTCTGATGTTCCCTTCCCTGGGAAGGGACAGCCTCAAGCCATGGTTCAGGTGGGTCATACTTCAGCTTGTAGTCAGGGTTGCTCATGGTTAAAATAGGTATCTGCATTGGGTTTAACAAAATTTGTATGAGATGTGGGTTAGCAGCAGGATAGTGCTTTGGAAACAGGTAAAAACCTCCTGCGGTGGGGTTTCCAGCCTTGGTTTGCCTATTGTGGAGTTATCTTTTTGTTATAATGCTTTTTGAGGTATCTCTGTTTTTCCTTTTGGCCTACTGGAAGTCTGGGAGTGATTTTAGGAAGTGAGAGTGACCTTGAACATGTCATACTAAGGATTTCTTTTAATATTTTCACATTCAATGTATGTGAATTGATTTTACTGCTGTATGTTTATTAACTTGTTAGTAGCAAATCATTTTATCATTTAAAGCAGCTGGGAATAACTGTTTTCAAATGTAACCCATTATCTTGCTCTTCGTTGGGCAGGGATTAAAATATTTTTTAAATGGTGAATATATTTCAAGACCTCAGTAAACCTTATAGGTTGTTTGTAGCAAAGTAGGTTCTTTTAGATCATCACCAGTATGTCTCATAATACCATGCCAGGTTGTACCTTGTAAGAGCTCACAGGGGTTTCTTCTCAGCTCCTCTGACTGTCATTACTGTATGACCTTGTGCAAGTGCTTCAGCTGCTGTCACACCTTCACCTTTTTGAGTATTGTGTACTCTTGCAACATAATTATCTATAACTCAAAGCTGCCTGACCACCTACATGAAGTCCCATCTTAATAGAATCAACAGAATGTTCAAGGCTGAAAGGGACTATCAGGTGTTACCTGCTCAGGCAGGGTAAGATAGACCACATTGCTCAGGATTGCGTTCAGATGGTTCTTGAGTATCTCCAGGGAAGGAGCCTCCCTAGCCTCTCTGGGCAAACCTATTCCAGCGCTCGGTCATTGTCCCAGGAAAGTTCTTCTTCATGTTCAGGTGTAACTTCCTGTGTTTTGGTTTATGCCTGTCGCTTCTTGCCCCATTGTCTGGCACCACCAAGAAGAGTCTTGACACCCTCCCTTCAGAGGACCTTTAATGAGGTCTTTATACCTAGCTTCAACTTTGTGTTCTGCTGTTTCTACTGGCTTACCAAGCTCTTTAACTGGAGTATAGAACTCATCCTGTAAATTTGACAACATCATTGAAGTGTGCTAAGCCATTTTGTATGTGCATGTATGTGGGATAAATTTGTCATTTCTCCAGAATTCAAGAGCAGGAGAAGCTCCGGTTAAGATCTCCTCTCGTTGCAAATCCCTTTCCCCTTCTGCTCACAAGCTCAGAACCATGCAGATTTGCACTTTGACTTTGTCAAAACTCCTGCATTTTGATGTCATGGTTTTCTTAGGTGTTTATCTGTCTTTAAATGAAAGTCACTGATTTTTATAGTGTTTTAATAAAACCTTCCACTTCATAAAATGCTTTCATTCCTTCTTTGTAACTGGCTACTATTTAATGCTGCCAAACTTGGATTTCTAAAACTAGTCACCTATAATTTCTATTTGGGCAACAGAGTAAGTGACCTAAATAAATTTCAAGGTGCTGAATATCCCAGTACTCTAATTGAAATCCTTGGGGCTTAGTATGGGAACTGCAACCAATTTTCAGTATGAACAGCAGTTGAAGTAGTTGCATGTTTTTCAAGAAACACTTGGAGCCCTTATGAAGAAATCTTTCTCTCATCCCCACTACCTCTGCAATTAGTTATGTTGGTATCTTCTTGGTACTTAGGCTGGATCTGTGTTCCTTCAGTGATTCTGTGCAGTCGCTATGTTATGCTGTTCACACAAGAACATTCTGTTTCCTTCTGAAAATACTGCTGTTTTCAGCTGATGGTAAAAAGCCACCTTCCTCAGAGTTAAGGGAGAAGCTGCAAGCAGCTCATTTTAGGAAGCCTACAGCCCTTCAGGATAAGCTCAAGTGATGACTTTCTGTTTAAAGCTGTAACTTGCCAGATGACACTGCGTATCTGCAGTGACTTTTGCACTGTGGCGGCCACAAAATTCAGCTGAGGGATTCGTGTGGTTGTTCAGCTATGTTATGCTGAAAGCAGTCACTAGATGTGCACTGAAGTTTCATTTACAGAGTACTGATAGATGTCTTCAGAACTGTTGTTAGTCTGTAAAAAGTAAAAAAATATGAAAGATTTAAGACAAAGACTTTTTAAAAAAGTGATCTCTATTTACTTGACTGTCTCAGTCGTTATCCCTGGTAACATGTGTTTCTGTCATGTACTTACCAATTATTACAATGTAATAACAATATGGAAAACAAGCAAACAAAACTAAAACAAACTCACAAACAAAAACACCCCAACAAAAGAAGACAATACAGTGTTTAGTTCTGCATAATGTTCTGGGGCATATGATACAAAGGATTTGCTCCCAGTTTTTTTCAGTTGGAGTGCTTCTACTCAGAACGCATAGATATGATCATATGTATACGTATACCTCTATTATGCATAAAAAAGCAAAGTCACCTTTTTAATTTCTTGCTGATTAGATATTTCAGCTTTGGCTAATTATACTTCCTAATATTCCTCATGCTTCTGAAAACTTGTGTAGTTCTGTTTTATACTGAGGCTATATAACATCATATTTGGGTTGCAGAATGCATGAGAAAAAGGAAGGTTTGTATTCTTGCCGCAGAAAAAGTTACTGCTTGCTTTGTCTCAGCCAGTAGGTCAGCGTGCTCTGCACACTCACCTGTTAGGCGCGCTATCCTGCAATGCCATAATGCTTCTTACTCCCAAGAGCAAGCATTCCTTCTAATCCAGGGTTTACAGGAAAAAGTTATTAGTCATTCATTGAGTGGCACACCCATTGCCTATTGAGAAATATTTTTAGAAAGAAACAGAAGTCCACAGCATGGCTCACAGAGACTGTTTTGAAATACCTGGCCGTGTGCACACCCGTGCCCCTAGCCTTTACCTGAGGAAACTTTCAAATTACATTAGTGTGAGCTGTGTCCAAGTTGAGCAACACAGGACAGACTCTTAGGACTCATGGGCTACCTGTCAGGCTAGCGAATTTCCTATTTTTAAAGCAGGAAAATCCATGTGCTAATACCGAAACCAAAACATCCAGATACATAGTAGCTTTGGAAGTAGACATAAAACTTTACAAGATTTTTATAGACTTAGCAAGATAATTTGGGTTAGCTCAGTGTTACAGGAGGTATTTGCTTTAGTGCTCAATAGGTGTGTGGCATCTAAAACATTGGATACATTTGTATATGTGCTCTGTAGAGCCAGTGTGTCCTGCCAGGGTGATGTATGCTGAAGGAGGAATGGGAAGTGCTTGATCTGTCTTGACATGGTCAATGGCTAGACCTGCAAAGGTGCCTCAGAACTGGCACTGACTTCCAACAGGTTTTGGGATAGCTGCGCTGGAGCCAGTGCTGCCTTGCAGCAGAGGAAAAGGAAATTCCTCCCATAGGGATGGATTTTGCAATAGCAGGTGGCTGTGAGCTGACTGATGGCATCTATTGTTGGCCAAGAGGAGGAGTGTGTAGTGCCTTGATCCTGTCAAAAGAAAGGGGGAATTTTTGAGGTTGTGGCAAATTCATGTGCAGGATCGGTTTTAAAAGTGGAACAAGCATTACTGCTTTCAGAGCAGAGCCATAGAAGTTGGGGTGTCCAGTTCTTGAGAGCAGATCATAAAAATGCCTTTCCAACAAGGAAAGTCACAAGCCTTTCTCAGCCTGAGGACATTTTAAACCACATCTCTTACTCAAAATGGAACTCCTTATCAGTCCCAGCTGGTCTTGCTGGGAGTGCCACTGCCTTGGCTTACGTGCAACCTTGAGTAACTAGAGGGTTCAAGAGACACAAGGCTGCAGCAAAGCAGCACCTATTGCATGGACCTGTATCCTGGCCAATAGAACTATGGTACCAGTTGTCTGACAAAGCAGAAGTTTAGGTGCATGCATATTTCGCAGGATTTAGAAAGCATCTTAGTTCTACTGATGTTCTCTTACGAACAAGTAGACTTGTGGTCTAGGCTTTTATTCTTTGCAGGTGGTTTACAGATCCTGTGCTGAAGGTAAAAGAGGGGTTTTCATGATTTTATGTGTTTCGCACAAACCATTTTGACTGGAACACCTCTGCTGCAGACAGGTTTTGAGCTTTTTCAGCTATGGAGAATACTAGGCAAAAATAAAGGCTACAATCTGACCCTGACTGCACCAAGTAACCTTCAAATGCATTATGAAAATTGCCTATCTGTAACTGATCTGTAGTTGAAGTCTGTTTTGTGAAGGCTCAAGATTTCTGCCCATGTAGCAATAATGAGAATATTAGCACTTTCTTACACTGAATTGGACAGCAGATTGGACTGCTGCTGCAGAATACTGCTAACTTATAATGCTTGTTTCTTGGAGAAGTGGGGAAAGCCACTACCTTGCTGTTGGAAGTTTATGTGTTTGTGTTACGAAGAAATACTTTTGCTCTATGCCGGCTTCAATATAAGTTTCTAATAATGATCTTTCTGTTGTTGTTTAAAGAAGGGGGGTTGGGGAAGCCTTTTATCTCCCTGTGGTATGTGAATGTTTGGGAAATACCTCCAAGTGGTGAGGGAATCACAGGTTTGACCCAAACCATTTTGGAGAATTCTAGTGTTTAAGGTGTGGCTTTTATATCCAGTAAAATATCTGAGAGGAGTGTGTTTGTTTTTCAAGTCTGGCCAACTCTGAAAGTATGATTCAGAACCAGAAGAATGAATCTGTGAAGTAAAGTAGAAATTTGAAGCCATCTGCAGTTCAAAGAAAGTCTTTGTTGAAGCCTGGTCTAGTAAACTCTACAGTAGTTTTCTACTCCTAAATAAAATGGGGATTTATTTGTGAGAG